AATAACATTTAAGAAAATTGAAGACATAATCAAGACTCTCCCAGCAAACAAAAGCCCAGGTCCGATGGCTTTCGGGGGAGTTTTACTGAACATTCAAAGAAGAACTAACATGCATTCTCCACAAACTATTCCCAAAAATTCAACAAGAAGGAAGACTTTCAAACTCATTTTATGAGGCCAGCATAATTCTAATTCCAAGACCAGATAAAGACACTACAAAGAAAGAAAACTACAGGCTAATATCCCTGATGAACAGAGATGCCAAAATTCTGCTCAAAATATTGGCAAATTGAATCCAGCAATACATTAAAAAAACTATTCACCATGACCAAGTGGGATTCATTCCAGGAATACAAAGCTGGTACAATATTCACAAATCAATAAATGTGATACACCACATAAACAAAATAAAGATAAAAACCATATGATCATATCAATAGATGCTGAAAAAGCATTCAACAAAATCCAACACCCATTTCTGATAAAAACGCTCAGCAATGTGGGAATAGAGGGATCATATCTCTATATAATAAAGGCCATATATGAAAAACTTACAGCCAGTATGATACTTATTGGGCAAAAACTAAAAGCATTTCCGTTAAGAACAGGAACAAGCAGAGACGCCCACTTTCACCACTCTTATTTATCATAGTACTGGAAGTCTTAGCCACAGCAATCAGACATGAAAAAATAAATAAATAAAAGGGATCTAAACTGGAAAGCAGGAAATGAAACTGTCATTATTCATAGATGACATGATATTGTACATAAAAAACCCTAAAGACTTCATCAAAAATCTACCAGACTTAATAATCAAATTGGGCAAGGTAGCAGAATACAAAATTAACATCAAGAAATAGAAGGTATTCTTATACACAAATAATAAATTCACAGAAAGAGAAACTAAAAACAAACAAACAAACAAACAAAAAATCCCATTTACCATTGCAGCAAAAAATTAAGATACCTAGGAATAAACTTAACAAAAGAAGTAAAGGACCTATTTGCATAAAACTACAGAACACTGAAAAAGAAATAGAGGAAGACATTAAAAGTGAAAGCACATACCTTGTTCTTAGATGAGAAGAATTAACATCATTAAAATGTCCATACTACCCAAAGCAATCTATAGGTTCAATGCAATCCCAATCAAAATACCAACACATATTTCACAGAAGTAGAACAAATACTTCAAAAGTTCATATGGAACCAAAAATAACCCCGAATGGCCAAAGCAATCTTAAAAAAGGACAAAATACGTGGGAGCATAATACTGGATATTGAATAATACTACAAAGCCACTGTAATCAAAACAGTCTGATACTGGTACAAGAACAGACATATAGATCAATGAAACAGAATAGAGAACCTGGAAATTGATTTAAGACATTATGCTCAATTATTACTTGACAAAGGTGACAAGAGCATACAATAGAGTCAAGACAGCCTCTTTAGTAAATGGTATTGGGAAAACTGGACAGTTAAATGCAAAAATAAGAAAAAAGAAAAAAATGAAACTACACCATCAATTTACAACATACACAAGAATAAACTCAAAGTGGATAAAAGACTTAAATGTGACCTGTGAATCCATTAAAATCCTAGAAGAAAATGTAGGCAACAAAATTTTAGAACTCATATGTAGTAGAATTTTTACTGATACATCACCTAAGGCAACAGAAACAAAGGAAAAAATGAACACATAGAACTACATCAAACTAAAAAGGTTCTGCACAGCAAAAAAAAAGAGCCATCAAAATGGAAAGGGAACCCACTATATGGGAGAGCATAACTGCCAACGATACATCAGATAAAGGGTTAATTGCCAAAATATATAGAGTGCTCATACAACTCAACAATAGAAAGACAAGGAACCCAATTAAAAATGGGCAGAAGAAATAAATAGACACCTCTCCAAAAAGGACATACAAATGGCTAAGAGACATATGAAGAAATGCTCAACATCACTAATCATCAGAGAGATGCAAATTAAAATAACAATAAAGTATCACCTCACACCTGCCAGAATGGCTGCCATCAACAAATCATCAAACAAGTGTTGGTGAGGCTGTGGAGAAAAGGGGACTCTAGTACACTGCTGGTGGGAATGCAGACTGGTGCAGCCACTGCGGAAACAGTATGTTGTTTCCTCAAAATATTAAAAATTGAACTGCCATTTGACCCAGTGATCCCACTTCTAGGAATGTATCCTAAAAAGCCTGAAAAACCAATCAGAAGGAATATTATGTACCCTTATATTCATAGCAGCACTATTTACAATAACTAATATATGGAAACAGCTGAAGTGTCCAGCAATAAATGAGTGGATAAAAAGCTGTGGTGCATATACACAATAGAATACTATGCAGCTGTAAGAAAGAGAGATCTTTTACCCTTTAAGATGACATGGAAGGACCTGGAGAACATTAGGCTAAGCAAAATAAGCCAAACATAGAAAGACAAATACCACATGATTCTCACATATTTATAGAATATCACGAACAATGTGAACTAATCAACAAAATAGATCCAGAGACATAGAAAGGAGTATAGTTCAGACTGACAAACCTCAGAGGAGAGGGACGAGGGGATGGATGAGATGAACCAAAGAACTTATATAATGTATGCATAACCAATGGATATAGATAACAATGCTGGGTAGGTTGAGGGGGTGTGGGATGGGGAGGACAGTGTCTTGCGGGGGGGGGGGAACATCTATAACAAAAATAAATTAATAAACACATATTTAAAAGTATATAGCTTGGATTTTAAGTATCAAAATTGATAGAACTAAAAGAAAAAAGAATACATGGAGTTAACTCATTTCATGGGCTTTTATCTTGGTTTTCTTCTAGACAATCAGTTACATCAAACACATGGGCTGTTTTTAAGGAAGCAGTGTCTGGGAGCAGGGAGAACAGCAAATGCTAAATGATTCACAGAATGGCTGTGTTGGAATTGGGGAAAGCAGGCAATGGGCTTCATTCTCCAGTGGATGCACAGCATGGTGCCCTGAACTGGGACCACTGGCTCAGTCTGAGCAGGTGGATCTCGAGAGGATGCTATCTGACATTCCTTTGTAGCCAAGCCTGCAGAAGCCAGGAAACAACTGCAGGATGAGGACAACCAACGGGAGATGAAACAGATTCCTTTGGGCTCCTTGCCCAGACCACCAGTTTACGACAGCACAGATGGTGCTTTATATTTTCTTAAAACATGAAGCAGCAAGCCCTGAAAGTGGGCTTCAGTAAACACGTCTGCTGATTATGAAGGCTGACACTGGCTTAGATTTGAGGAATGTACAGTCGGTAGATTTCACTGCATGTGAGCTCAATGAAAAATAAAACCACAATACTTCAAAGCTGCCATTGATTCTGCATTATAAAGACAGAATCAAGACTTTTTTGTTGTTCTTTGTTCGTTTTGATTTTGCTTTAGAAATTCCCAAGCCCAATCTCAGTCTGGAAGCAGGAGGGAAGGGGAGGTAAACAATCACTGTAGCAGCACAGGCTCCGAGTAGTACGTGGGAAGGGCCATCTTCTGTGTGCAGGGGCAGCTCTACACATTTCTGACCCTCAGGAAACTGTCTGTCATCATCACATCAATATGGCTTATAAATGTGTTAGACTCAGACGCAAGCCGTTCTCATGAAAAGACTGAGCCCACACTTGAACATTAGTGTCATATCGATTACCTGGAGAACTTTGTTAGAATGAAGACTTGAAGTAGTTCGTGTGGGTGCCTGAAAGCCGGCTTCTCCAACAAGCCCTCCACAGGTCACTCACAGCCACAAGCAAACTCGGAGGAAACTCCTGGGACATCAGTCTTCACTATGAAAATCAGGCAAATCTTCCTAATAACAGGTCACTAAGAAATTTCACGAAACTCTGGTCCAGGCCATCCTCTACCTCAGTGAGCAGACACTGATGTCTTGCTCGGAATGCTTGAGTATTCCAGGTGAAAGTCGTCACCCAGTTCCAATTTAATCATTAGTTTTACAGACGGGATCCTAAGTTCCTGGGGTTAAACCATTTGGTTATCATCCCATAACTATTTAAGGGTACGGTCAGGATTCCAACAGTGCTTTCCTGACTGGTGCCCTTTACCAGGGAGTCAGCCTCAACAGGAGACATGGGGACAGGACACAATGTGGACACTGGAGGCATCAGAAAAGTTGGGAGGGAAACAAGGGATGAGAAATCCAATGCAGGTTCAATGAATAAATCTACAAAAGATCAGGTACAACACAGTGCAGTGCAGAGAGAGTCACTTTATTATTGATACAACAATGCTTTAAGGAACAATACATCAAATAGGGTCATTTCCACTGGGACTGAGTATGTGGGACATAAAGGTCAGAAACGATCATGGGGAGCTCCTTCCTGTCTCTGGGGGTGAGTGACCCAGGTTTCGGGTCTCAGGCAAAGCTGCCTCTACACCTGCTTTTCTCTTAGCCACCAACAGAGCCTGGTCCAGAGGCCGCACGGTTCCGGTTAGGACTGAGGATTCCGTTACTGCCCTCTTCCTAGCTGTGTCCTGAGTAAGAAGAAATATCTGTCTCCTACAGCCATGACTCAGCTATAGGCGGCGAGAGGGAAGGAATGCAGTAGGGTAGCAAAACCCAATCAGAACCACTCAAGAAGGTCCCCACAGGGCCAGCTCTCACGGTGGGTCCTTGAGTCTCTCTCTTTGTCATCTTGAGGTCATATTAATCTCAGTGTTGGCTCTCAACCTCCCCTCCAACTCTTCATCCTATCTCAGATAGAAAACCGTATAGCTCCCCAGTCTTGTCCTCACAGGTACATAAAAGCCACAGTGAAGGGACAAAATAATGCAGAGCATTCTCCCTCAGGCATTCCCTAACATCGGTCTGCACTCTCCAGTCTGGAGCCCTTGTCACTTGCTTTTCATGTTGTCACTCTGAAAAACCTAGGAGGAACCTCACTGCCCTTGAACCCCTCCAAGAGAGGGAGCAGGCTCTGGGGCCACGCCCCGCGGCAGATGGCACATGTGGGGACAGGAAGCCACAGCCGCAGGGAGCCTGGCACACAGAGGGCAGGCGGGGTGGGCATCCTTTACCTTTATGACAAGAAACTGTCAGCGTGGGTGTAAAATACAAACACATTCCAGCAGAAGAAAGTGTAAAGGAGAAAACAGTAGCGTGAAAAGAGGCACTTGCATTGCTGATGGGTATGCTCACGGGGCAAAAACGGCAGGATCAACAGAGGAATTCAGAAAATCAATAGCAGCCTTCACAAGCGCATGCGTGTGGGCGCCTGTTAGGAGGACAAAGGAACATCGGGGCTGAGGGACAACAGTGCCAGTAAACGCCTTTCTCCAGATCTCCCCTGACCCTCCCTGGGCGTCTCCCATGACCGTCCCTGGGCGTCGCCCCTGACCCTCCCTGGGCGTCTCCCCTGACCCTGCTGTGATCTTCTTTCACTGCCCCTGACTTTCCCTTCTCGTTGCCCAGACTCCCTGGCTCTCCTCTGGCCCAGGAAGCCCAGCGGCAGGGAGGTGGGACACTCGGGAGGAAATGCTCCCAGCACAGCCCTGCGCTCAGGACACTGCTGCCAGGGAGAGGGCGTCAGGGCCCCTTCACATCCCTTTCATGATTCTCACTCCCATCCATGTCCCTTTCCTTCCTTAGACACGTCCCCGCCTCCCCCAATTTAGCATTGCACCCTCATCCTGCCAAGGGAAGAACTAGCTGGGGACCCGAAAACGTCTGGGCCTGGAAGGTCGGGTCAGAGGACGATGGGGTTTCTCTCTTGGTTCCCCTCTCTGGGGCCAGGAGGCTCAAAGTCTGGAGAGATGCCGAGCTTCCTAAGGAGGGAAGGACATGGGGCCTTAGGATCGTGCTCCTACCTGCATGAGAGTGAAGCCAGGCCACAGCCTTCCTTTCCAGGAGCTCCCACTCACACTTCACGTCCGCACGGTTGCCATGCAGCCAGAGCACTGCCAGGACCGTGGCCCAGCCCGAGGTGTCCGCGCCCTGCAGCAGACAGAGGCTTCCCTGAGGCCTCCACTCGCCTCACTCACCTGCACCCGAGCGGCTACCAAGTGAGGTCACCTGGTCTCCCCAACCTCCCTTATGACTTCCGGGGCATAATGCCAGGCCCTAGACCTCAGGGCAACAATCCACTGGGTCTTAGGGTAAAAGGTTTTACATTTGGAATCCAGTATAACCACCAGGACAGTGCTTGAAACTCCTGAAACACCCCAACAAGGATCAGCCAGCTGGGATTACAATGAAAACAAACAAAAACATATGCACAGTTGCTTTATATTTTCTAAAGCATGCTCATGTTTTTATGGGAACCCTCGCCAAAATGATAACAAAAATGTAGAATTATCAATAGCCACGTTTTTAAGAGCGAAGGCTGATTCATACAAAAGTGAAATGATTTGCCCAAGGTGGTCTTCTAGCACATGATGGAGCTGGGACTGGAGACCAGACATTCTGATTCCTGTCATACTGCTCATATAGCTCAACAGAACGTCTCGTCCAAGAACAGAAATTCCTCTTTTTTTTTATACCATGACCTTTAATGTTTGGAAATACCACCATGTCCTCTGCGCAGTCTTATTTCAGATCACAATTCTCAGTTCCCTGAATTCTCCCTTAAAGGGATTTATGTCAAAGCAATAAGGATCCCTGTTTGTTCTCCTTGCAGAGAAACAAACACAGTGATTTCTGAAATATATCTTTTTAAATGGTCACATCTGGAGGAACATGTACTTATAAAATTCTAACAATTTTTAATAATATAATTCTATAAATTATGTGATATATATGGCTTTCCTGACAGTCCTATTGTTCTCAACTAATTTAAAACTCACGTTTCAAATACGCTGACTCATATTATGTTTCCGGTCCTCCAAAATCTTAAACTTGCATGTGTAAGCACTCTTCAGTCACCTTGCTTCTATTCTCTACTGTATAGTTGAGAATTTAGAAGGAAAATTAGCATATTTGTTTCTGCTAATTTTATTTTTAATTCAAGTCACTGTTCAGGTCTTTTAGGATCTTGATTTTCTTGTCCATCACACTGTTTTGCAAGTTTGTCATATACAAATAGGAGACCATTGGTCTGTATCTTTACCTAAATATTCATCGAAAATATGAACTGCCAGAGAATTCAGAGCCTGGTGGGTCTGAATATGTTTTAAGTCTGAATAAATTCATTATTCAGTACTGTGGGTTTTCAACTAGTTTGTAATCAGCATATATACTAATCATTAAGAAAAACTGAAATCTCTTACTGAAATTCAGATACACCAGGGCTCTTCAATCCCTTGATTTATTGGCCAAGATACCACGTCAAAGAAGAACATGTTAGTCTGACATGACTTGTTCTCAATGAAACCAAGGTAGAACTTCATGATCCTTAACATGTTCTTTCAACTGTTTATAAATTCATTATATGCATTAGTCAAATTTATAAATTAGCCTTGTAATTATCTGTTTTAGAACAGTATTTTTTCAAAAGAAATATAGTACTCAAACATAATTTTAAGTGTCCTAGGAGCCTCCTGTAAAAAGGTAAACATAAAAAGGTATAATTATTTTATCAATAATATATTTTATTTAACCTAGTATATTTAGTTACCATTTTAACATATAATTAAAATAAAAATAAGTATTAATGAAATATTTTACATTTTTTTTATGTTAAGTCTTTATTTATTTTTTTATTTATTTATTTTTTATTTTTATTTTTTTATGAATTTTTATTTATTTTTTTGTTACAGATATTTTACCTTTTTACGCCATTGGCACCCCCCACCCCACCCCCCCTCCACCCCATCCCCGGCTTAGTTGTCCATGTCCATTGGTCATGCATACATGCATATAAGTTCTGTGGTCCATCTCTTCCCACCCCCCCAGCCCCCCATCACCTCTTCTGAGGGATGTCAGTCTGTGCCCTACTTCCATGTGTCTGGATCTACTGTATTCCTCAGACTGTTATGTTCATTATATTCCGTATATAAGTGAGATCATGTGGTATTTGTCTTTTTCTGCTTGGGTTCTTTCACTTAGGATAATACTTTCCAGGTGCCTCCATGTCGTCTCAAAGGATAAGAGATCTTTCTTTCTTACCGCTGCATAGTACTCCATTGTGTATATGTACCACTGCTTTTTTATCCATTCGTCTACACTTGGGCTGGACACTTGGGCTGTTTCCAGATCTTAGCTATTGTAAATAGTGCTGCTATGAACATGGGGGTACATATATTCTTCCTGATTGGTGTTTCAGGCTTCTTAGGGTATATTCCCAGCAGTGGGATCACTGGATCAAATGGAAGTTCAATTTTTAATTTTTTGAGGTAGCACCATATTGTTTTCCATAGCGGCTGCACCAGTCTGCATTCCCACCAGCAGTGTACTAGAGTCCCCTTTTCTCCACACCCTCGCCAACACTTGTTGTTTGATGATTTGTTGATGGCGGCCATTCTGACAGGTGTGAGGTGATACCTCATTGTTGTTTTAATTTGCATCTCTCTGATGATTAGTGATGTTGAGCATTTCTTCATATGTCTTTTGGCCATTTGTATGTCCTGTTTGGAGAGGTGTCTATTCAGCTCCTCTGCCCATTTTTTAATTGGGTTCTTTGTCTTCCTTTTATGGAGTTGTATGAGCACTCTATATATATTGGAAATTAACCCCTTATCTGATACATCATTGGCAATGATGTTCTCCCATACAGTGGGTTGCCTTTCCATTTTGATGATTGTTTCTTTTGCTGTGCAGAAGCTTTTGAGTTTGATGTAGTCCCATGTGTTCATTTTCTCCTTTATTTCTGTTGCCTTAGGTGATGTATCAGTGAAAATTCTGCTCCGTATGATGTCCGAAATTTTGTTGCCTACATTTTCTTCTAGAATTTTTATGGATTCACGGGTCATATTTAAGTCTTTTATCCATTTTGAGTTTATTTTTGTGTATGGTGTAAGTTGATGGTCTAGTTTCATTTTTTTTGCATGTAGCTGTCCAATTTTCCCAACACCATTTATTAAAGAGGCTGTCTTTACTCCACTGTATGCTCTTGCCACCTTTGTCAAATATTAATTGAGCGTACTGCCTTGGGTCCATTTCTGGGTTTTCAGTTCTGTTCCACTGGTCTATATGCCTGTTCTTGTGCCAGTACCAGGCTGTTTTGATTACAGTCGCTTTGTAGTATAACCTGATATCTGGTATTGTGATCCCACCTACTTTGTTCTTCTTTTTCAAGATTGCTGTGGCTATTCGGGGTCTTTTTTGGTTCCATATGAACTTTTGAAGTATTTGTTCTAGTTCTATGAAATATGTCGTTGGTATTTTGATGGGAATTGCATTGAATCTATAGATTGCTTTGTGTAGTATGGACATTTTAATGATGTTAATTCTTCCAATCCATGAACAGGGTATGTGCTTCCACTTTTTTATATCTTCCTCTATTTCTTTTTTCAATGACCTGTAGTTTTCTGCAAATAGGTCCTTTACTTCTTTGGTTAAGTTTATTCCTAGGTATCATAATTTTTTTGGCGCGATGGTAAATGGGATTGTTTTTTCAGTTTCTCTTTCTGTGAGTTCATCATTGATGTACAAGAATGCCGTCGATTTCTTGATGTTAATTTTGTATCCTGCTACTTTGCCAAATTCATTTATTAAGTCTAATAGATTTTTGATGGAGTCTTTAGGGTTTTCTATGTACAATATCATGTCGTCTGCAAATAATGACAGTTTCACTTCCTCCTTTCCAATTTGGATCCCTTTTATTTTTTCTTCATGTCTGATTGCTGTGGCTAAGACTTCCAGTACAATGTTAAATAAGAGTGGCGAAAGTGGACATCCCTGTCTTGTTCCTGTTCTTAATGGAAATGTTTTTAGTTTCTGTCCATTGAGTATGATGTTGGCTGTAGGTCTTTCATATATGGCCTTTATTATGTCGAGATATGATCCCTCTATTCCTACATTGCTGAGCGTTTTTATCAGAAATGGATGCTGGATTTTGTCGAATGCTTTTTCAGCATCTATTGATATAATCATGTGGTTTTTATTCTTCATTTTGTTTATGTGGTGTATCACGTTTATTGATTTGCGAATATTATACCAGCCTTGCATCCCTGGAATGAATCCCACTTGGTCATGGTGAATAATTTTTTTGATGTATTGCTGGATCCGATTTGCTAATATATTGTTCAGGATTTTGGCGTCTATGTTCATCAGGGATATTGGCCTGTAGTTTTCTTTCTTCATAGTGTCTTTTTCTGGTTTTGGAATTAGAATTATGCTGGCCTCATAGAACGTGTTTGGAAGTCTTCCTTCTTCTTGAATTTTTTGAAATAGTTTGAGGAGAATGGGTGTTAGTTCTTTTTTGAATGTTCGGTAAAACTCCCCTGTGAAGCCATCTGGGCCTGGGCTTTTGTTTGCTGGGAGAGTCTTGATTACTTCTTCAATTTCCTTAGTTGTTATTGGTCTGTTCAAGTTTTCTATCTCTTCCGGGAACAGTTTTGGGAGACTGTGTGTTACTAGAAATTTGTCCATTTCGCTTAATTGTTGAATTTGTTGCCATATAGTTGTTCATAGTAGTTGTTAAAGATCTTTTGTATTTCCGTGGTGTTGGTTGTTACTTCTCCTCTTTCATTTCTGATATGTTAAGTCTTTAAAATCACAATTTGTTTCATAGTTATAGCATGCCTCAATTCAATAAAAAATTTAGTTCCTCATTTCATTAGCTGTATTTTAAGAGCTTAATAGCCACATCTGAGTAATAGATACTGTACTGGTTGTTGTAGTGACAGGATATCTGAAGTTTATTTAATCACCTTCCGCATTTTGTAAATTCAAAATGACACTGTCCTTCACATTTTGGCATTTGTCTTGCATATAACAATATCTCAGTGAGCAAGCTACCTTGAAATTCTGGAACGTAATTTGTCCTCATCGGCAGACTTGAACACATTTGAAATAATTAGATCATTCCTGTTTATACTTCACATTCGCTAACTTTGATGTGGCTAATTTCTGGACCACTTCCTTAGGAAGAGGAGCAATGATGTGAGTTCTACAGGTCTGCGGTCCTGGAACTGAAGCCACACTGCCCCTAACTGCTAGGTAAACTTAGATACATTATTACACTTCTCTGGCTTTTCCTTTCTACATGTATAAACAGCAACATAAATAAAACTAACCTTTTATAATTGTTGTGATGAATAAATAACATTATGAATGTTAAGTGCTTAGCACTGTGTGTGGCACAGAGTAGTTGCTCAGGGAACAGTCACTGTAACTACGATGGTTGGCAGAGATCAGCTGAAGTAAAGGGAGTCCCTGCGTCCCGCTGCCGTGCCCCAGCTCCCACTGGCCAGATCATCAGTGCCGTTCCTCCTGCTCTCACCCACCCTGAAGCATCCTTCCACCTCCACGCGTTAGACGTTATTTAGTCTATGATCCCCTGTACTCTCCTTCCGCAGGTGATTCACCCCAATTCTCTTTACTGACCCCGACCTCTCAAAATGCAAATGCCCCTTTTTCTTCTCTGAGTCTCACCTTGAGAGGGAGCGCAGCCAGAATCTCTTCCAGACTCACACCTAGAACCACGGCCAGACCTTCATTCAGACACCAGGACCCATCTGCGTTTTGGAGGGAAATCAGCTGCACAAGATGATCGTCTTCAAAGATTTGGGGGTGGAGAGAAAAAAGAAAGAGGATGAGAAACGAAGAAGCCTCCAGCCCCTTGGCTACTTGAGCGCGAGGTCTGAACTCGGAGGCAGACACAGCCAGACTGCAGAGCTCAGCGGATCCTTCCAGCCCCGGCTCAGCCCGTCCCCTGGGAGACCTGCCTCCCGTGTGACGACGCAGCCACCCCGTGTTGTACTGCCAGAGGGGAATGCACTGAGAAGTTCAAAAACTGGAGAGAGATGTGGGTACTAAAGGACCGACATGAGAGCTGTTTGAAATCTCATCCAGTCCTGTTTAAATGACGCTTATAACTTTAGGTATATTTAAAAATTCTAGATAAATATAGCTTGGCCCTGGCTGGTTTGGCTCACCTGTTAGAGCATCCTCCCATGGATCACAGGGTCGAGGGTTAAATCCCAGTCAAGGGCACAAACCTGGGTTGCAGGTTTAATCTGCAGCCCTGGTCCAGGCCCCGCAGGAGGCAGCCTATTGATGTGTTTCTTTCTCATTGATGTTTCTATCTCTCTCTCTCTCCCTTCCTCTCTCTCTAAAATCAATAAAAAACAAATTTAAAAATATATATAGCTTGAGTTTTAAGTATAAAAAATTTCAAAAGAAATCAGATACAAAGGAAACAGTTAGCAGTCTACAGTAAAGAGTAGTGTAGCCCTGGCCAGTGTGGCTCAGTTGATTATCACCCCATACACTGACAGGCTGACTTTTAGATTCCTAGTCAGGGCACAAGTCCAGTTTCCAGCTTGATCCCCAGTAGGGGGTGTGCAGGAGGCGCCAATCAGTGTTTGTCTCTCTCCCTCTCTCTCCCTGTCTGTCTGTCTAAAATCAATACAAAGATTTTTTTTTTTAAATGGAGTCATCTAGTGTCTAATCCTGGTGGTATGAAACTTGCTTAAAGACCAGAAAGCATCTTCACAGAGATGGTCTCACATCTGGCTATCCATCATATGGGATGATATACTTAGAGCAACTTAGAAATTAGTAGGCAAGAAAAAAAGATCTACACTAATAGGAACAAAATCTGTGACTCTGAATTTCAAAAGTCCTAATCAAAGACTTTGAATTTCAGCTCTATCTACACCCCAATTGAAGTTATTTAACCTACGGGAATCTCAGACTTCTCTACAACTGGAGACAATACTGCCTGATGTATGGGAGAAAATGTAAAGCAGAAGGCACATGAATGGCTCCCTACAAATAATAGTTGCTGACTTATTCACCAGCAGAACACTGATGGGTAATTTTTCTTTCTACATTAGTGAGAGGGTTATTAGAGAGAAAGCTAGAGAGGGGATATTCCAAGTCACTGGGTCTTAGGACAGCACAGGAAACTAACACAAACCGAGAACCTACTCCGTGGATAAGATTAAGAAGGCTCTCATGAAAGCCATAGAAGGTACATAGTAGTGCAGTTGAGGAAACTAAGCCTCTAAACAGTTAATCAGTTTTCTTAAAGCACCACAGTAATTGGTAGTACAGAGATCTAAATCCACCTTAGACCCCAAAGACCTCTCTTTATTAGCAACCAAAGAAGAATGAATAAATAGGGAGCAAGTACAAATACATTTAAACAATTAAACTACTGCACACCATAAACCCTTGCTACAAAAATTGGAGAGTAGAAATAAGTTGACTTTAAGCCTATTTTAGTGGAATAGGCACCCCTCAGAGGTAAAATGTACTTTGACTCAATTTGTCATGCACATGAGAAGCTCAGCTGCTTGGAACACAGGGCAATGAAATGACCAAGGATCACCTTTTGGTGACAGAAAGTCACCAGACAGCATTAAAAAGATCTGTCTTCAAACCCAACGTGTAAAAGAATGATTAATGCACTTGGGGCTTAAACAGGGTGGCAGGTGAGTTCTGCAAGAGGAGGCCCCCAGCCGGTAGGCCAGGTGAGCAAGCTGCGATGGCAAAGGGGCTCATCCCAAACTCCGCTGTGGTAGGTGTCAGTGTCTTATATTGTAGACTAAAGGAATTGGATGGACCCTGGCAGGTAGAGGCTGGACAAATTTTTCCCTCTCCCTGACACCTTTCAAACAGATTACCTCCTGGGTAGAGAACACAAAAGATAGCACTGAAGATTAGTTCTTCAGTTCCCATTGATCAGAAAAGAGAACTGAGGCCCATCTTACATGTATGGTTAGTTTCCGAGTCGGTCAAGTTGCTCGCCATGGGCAAAACAGCCCCTGTCCTGTGAAGGCTTTTTCTCATAGACCTGGGCATTGCTGATCTATAAGTAGGAGCTGAAGAGTTGGCTGGACCTATATGTGTGAAAGACAAACATTGTGAGAAAATGTCCCTGGAAAGATGCTCACCTAGAGAACATAGGCTCTTGTTCATCATGGTCCTATGGGGGCCATAATCAATCTCATCAAATGATATTCTCTGGCAAGACATGGACTCAAATACAGGACCAGGGAAGCAGTCCTCTTCATGAGCTGAAAAACCAAAGTAGACATTGGCACTGAGGCACCCTATGCTCTTTGCTGTAGTCAAAGGGCCCTGGTCATTTGAGACATATGATCCTATTCATGGCAGCCTTAGTCACCACTTCTATTGTGTACACACCCGTACCCTCCAAGCCCTTCCTACTGTGTGTCCTCTTGATACATGACAATGATTTTTATTGCTTCTTTAGTTTCATTATAGGAGGCTTCCTCCAATTAGTTGTCTGAACTTAAAACTAATTTTCCTTCTAAAAATATTTTCCCCCTCTATCCTACTAAAATGATAGTATCTCCAGGTACCATAACCCAAGTAGCCACATTTGAGAGGTGAGGTAGGAGGGATGGGAAACCCCTTCCATCCCAGTGGCCACATCCACACACATCATTACTCTTCACCGTCACCTGGACTTCCTTTCTCACATCCTCACTGCTGTCAATGCAATCTCTTGGTCAGTCCGTATCATTCACTGAAGTATCTGAAAACTAGGTCAAAGATTTTCACTTCATTGCAAAGCCCATCATAATCGTGAGAGATTAAGTATCCATATAGATAACCAATTCAACACCCTAGTTCAAAGCTTCTTGTCCTGCTCAAATCAAAAGACCTCAGCCTCCATTCTACCCCAGGTCCAGCACTAGCAGCAGCCAGCCTTTATTCCCAGCTTGGACTCTCCTGGGCACCTCCAAGCTCAGCACAAGTGGCAGCCACAAGTTGTAGCTCATGTTAGGTGGCCTGGGACACAGCAAAGGAAGTAAATGGCCCTGGCCTGAACCTCCTGGGAGGCCCCAGAGCCAGTGCACCTAGTGGACAGCTTCAGACCACATGAGAGCATCACCACCCAACCACCTCTACAAGCGACACTCAAGGGATGAACTCAGCAGGCACAAGAACCCATTGAAGTAAGTTGTGTTCTGTGGGGTGGGCCCTACATAACTGATCATGCAGGGTCGTCATAGTCACTACTTGCAGCTGACATGCCTGGGGGTCAATTCCTCCCATTGATGAGCCAACAGCAATCAAGGCTCAGCTACAATAGGAGGGTGTATACAGTCCACATGGGGAGTATGCCACCTCATGTGCCAAGCCTGGGGGATGGGGAGGCTGTGCCACTAGACCCTACAGAATACCAAGTACATACAACAGGCCACTCTATCAAGCGTGGGAGACATAGCAGCTCTACCTCAGACATAGAAACAAACATGGGGGCAGCCAAAATGAGGAGACAAAGAAACATGTCTTAAATGAAAGAACAAAACAATCCTCCATAAAAAGAACAAAACAAAATGGAGACAAGCAATCTACTAGATGCAGAGTTCCAAACATTGGTTATAAAAATGCTCAATGAGCCCTGGCCAGTTTTGCTCTGTGGTTAGAGCATCAGCCAGCAGACTAAAGAGTTGTCAGTTCGATTCTGGTCAAGGGCACATACCTTGGTTGTGGTTTGGTCCCTGGCCCTGGTCAAGGTCATGTGGGAGGCAACCAGTCATTGGGTCTCTCTCACATCAATGTTTCCAGCTCTCTCTCCCTCTCCTTTCCTCTCTCTCTTAAGTCCATCAAAATATATTTTAAAAAATATTTAGCTTGAATTTTAAGTATCAAATATTTCAAAAGAAATCAGATACAAAGGAAGCATTTAACAGTCTACCTTTAAAAATAGTGTAGCCCTAGACAGTGTTATCACTCAGTTGGTTGGGTATCACCCCATGCACTGAGAGGTTAAGGTTTCGATTCATGGTGAGGGCACATGCCCAGTTTCCAGCTAGATCTCCAGTAGGGGGTGTTCAGGAGGCAGCAATCAGTGTTTCTCTCAGTCCCTCTCCCTTACTCTGTCTCTAAAATCAATAAAAACACACATAAAAAAGTAGTAGTAAAGTGTCCAATCCTGGTGGTATAAAACTTGTCTAAAGACCACAGAATTTTCACAGAGAGCATCTCATATTTGACTATCCATCTTATGGGATGATATACTGAGAGCCACTTAAAAATTAGTAGGCGAGAAAAAATTCTACACTAATAGAAACAAAAATCTAAGATTCTGAATTTCAAAAGTCTTAATCTAAGACTTTGAATCTCAGCTCTGTCTACACTCAAAATTGAAGTTATTTAACCTCCAGAAATCTCAGACTTCTCTGTAACCTGGAGACAATAATGCCTGATGTATGGGAGAAAATGTAAAGTAGAAGGCACATGAATGGCTCCCTTTACAAATAGTAGTTGCTGACTAATTCACCAGCAGAACACTGATGGGTAATTTTTCTTTCTACATTAATGAGAGGGTCCATTAGAGAGAAAGCTAGAGTGGGGATATTCCAAGTCACTGGGTCTTAGGACAGCACAGGAAACTAATACAAACCGAGAACCTACTCCGTGGATAAGATTAAGAAGGCCCTCATGAAAGCCATAGAAGGTACATAGTAGTGCAGCTGAGGAAACTAAGCCTCTAAACAGTTAATCAGTTTTCTTAAAGCTCCACAGTAATTGGTAGTACAGAGATCTGAATCCACCTTAGACTCCAAAGACCTCTCTTATTAGAAACCTAATGCGAATGAATAAATAGAAAGCAAGTACAAATATATTTAAACAATTAAACTACTGCACACCATAAATCCTTGCTACAAAAATTGGAGACTAGAAATAAGTTGCCTTTATGCCTATTTTAGTGGAATAGGCACCCCTCAGAGGTAAAATGTACTTCTTCTCAATTTGTCATGCACATGAGAAGCTCAGCTGCTTGGAACATACGGCAATGAAATGACCAAGGAACACCTTTTGGTGACAGAAAGTCACCAGACAGCATTAAAATGATCTGCCTTCAAAACCAACGTGTAAAAGAATGATTAATGCATCTGGGGCTCAAACAGGGTGGCAGGTGAGTTCTGCAAGAGGAGGGCCCCAGCCGGTAGGCCAGGTGTGCAAGCTGAGATGGCAAAGGGGCTCTTCCCAAACTTCGCTGGGGTAGGTGTCTGTGTCTTATATTGTAGACTAAAGGAGTTGGGTGTACCCTGGCAGGTAGAGGTTGGAGAAATTTTTCCCTGTCCCTGACACCTTTCGAACAGATTACCTCCTGGGTAGAGAACGCAAAAGATAGCATTGAAGATTAGTTCTTCAGTTCCCATAGAGCAGAAAAGAGAACTGAGGTCCATCTCACCTGTGTCGTTAGTTTCCAAGTTGGTCCTGTTGGTTGAAAAATCAGTGCTCCCGATTTCAAGAGGGCTTTCACTGACAGGCCTGGGTTTCTTTGATCTAAAACCAAGATCTGGAAGTTTGAATTGTCCTATATGTGTGACAGATAAACATCGGTGAGAAAATGTTCCTGGAAAGATGCTCACCTAGAGAACACAGCCTCCAGTTAATCATAGAACTATGGGGACCATAATCATTCTCTTTAAGTGACATATTCTCATATGACATGAACTCAAATACAGGACCAGGGAAGCAGTCCTCTTCATGAGTTGAAAAAACAAAGTAGACGTTGACACTGAGGCACCCTATGCTCTTTGCTGTAGTCAAAGGGCCCTGATCATTTGAGACATATGATCCTATTCATGGCAGCCTTAGTCACCACTTCTATTGTGTACACACCCGTACCCTCCAAGCCCTTCCTACTGTGTGTCCTCTTGATACATGACAATGATTTTTATTGCTTCTTTAGTTTCATTATAGGAGGCTTCCTCCAATTAGTTGTCTGAACTTAAAACTAATTTTCCTTCTAAAAATATTTTCCCCCTCTATCCTACTAAAATGATAGTATCTCCAGGTACCATAACCCAAGTAGCCACATTTGAGAGGTGAGGTAGGAGGGATGGGAAACCCCTTCCATCCCAGTGGCCACATCCACACACATCATTACTCTTCACCGTCACCTGGACTTCCTTTCTCACATCCTCACTGCTGTCAATGCAATCTCTTGGTCAGTCCGTATCATTCACTGAAGTATCTGAAAACTAGGTCAAAGATTTTCACTTCATTGCAAAGCCCATCATAATCGTGAGAGATTAAGTATCCATATAGATAACCAATTCAACACCCTAGTTCAAAGCTTCTTGTCCTGCTCAAATCAAAAGACTTCAGCCTCCATTCTACCCCAGGTCCAGCACTAGCAGCAGCCAGCCTTGATTCCCAGCTTGGACTCTCCTGGGCACCTCCAAGCTCAGCACAAGTGGCAGCCATCTGGAGATCAATTTGTAGCTCATGTTAGGTGGCCTGGGACACAGCAAAGGAAGTAAATGGCCCTGGCCTGAACCTCCTGGGAGGCCCCAGAGCCAGTGCACCTAGTGGACAGCTTCAGACCACATGAGAGCATCACCACCCAACCACCTCTACAAGCGACACTCAAGGGATGAACTCAGCAGGCACAAGAACCCATTGAAGTAAGTTGTGTTCTGTGGGGTGGGCCCTACATAACTGATCATGCAGGGTCGTCATAGTCACTACTTGCAGCTGACATGCCTGGGGGTCAATTCCTCCCATTGATGAGCCAACAGCAATCAAGGCTCAGCTACAATAGGAGGGTGTATACAGTCCACATGGGGAGTATGCCACCTCATGTGCCAAGCCTGGGGGATGGGGAGGCTGTGCCACTAGACCCTACAGAATACCAAGTACATACAACAGGCCACTCTATCAAGCGTGGGAGACATAGCAGCTCTACCTCAGACATAGAAACAAACATGGGGGCAGCCAAAATGAGGAGACAAAGAAACATGTCTTAAATGAAAGAACAAAACAATCCTCCATAAAAAGAACAAAACAAAATGGAGACAAGCAATCTACTAGATGCAGAGTTCCAAACATTGGTTATAAAAATGCTCAATGAGCCCTGGCCAGTTTTGCTCTGTGGTTAGAGCATCAGCCAGCAGACTAAAGAGTTGTCAGTTCGATTCTGGTCAAGGGCACATACCTTGGTTGTGGTTTGGTCCCTGGCCCTGGTCAAGGTCATGTGGGAGGCAACCAGTCATTGGGTCTCTCTCACATCAATGTTTCCAGCTCTCTCTCCCTCTCCTTTCCTCTCTCTCTTAAGTCCATCAAAATATATTTTAAAAAATATTTAGCTTGAATTTTAAGTATCAAATATTTCAAAAGAAATCAGATACAAAGGAAGCATTTAACAGTCTACCTTTAAAAATAGTGTAGCCCTAGACAGTGTTATCACTCAGTTGGTTGGGTATCACCCCATGCACTGAGAGGTTAAGGTTTCGATTCATGGTGAGGGCACATGCCCAGTTTCCAGCTAGATCTCCAGTAGGGGGTGTTCAGGAGGCAGCAATCAGTGTTTCTCTCAGTCCCTCTCCCTTACTCTGTCTCTAAAATCAATAAAAACACACATAAAAAAGTAGTAGTAAAGTGTCCAATCCTGGTGGTATAAAACTTGTCTAAAGACCACAGAATTTTCACAGAGAGCATCTCATATTTGACTATCCATCTTATGGGATGATATACTGAGAGCCACTTAAAAATTAGTAGGCGAGAAAAAAATTCTACACTAATAGAAACAAAAATCTAAGATTCTGAATTTCAAAAGTCTTAATCTAAGACTTTGAATCTCAGCTCTGTCTACACTCAAAATTGAAATTATTTAACCTCCAGAAATCTCAGACTTCTCTGTAACCTGGAGACAGTAATGCCTGATGTATGGGAGAAAATGTAAAGTAGAAGGCACATGAATGGCTCCCTTTACAAATAGTAGTTGCTGACTAATTCACCAGCAGAACACTGATGGTAATTTTACTTTCTACTTTAGTGAGAGGGTTATTAGAGAGAAAGCTAGAGAGGGGATATTCCAAGTCACTGGGTCTTAGGGCAGCACAGGAAACTAACACAAACCGAGAACCTACTCCGTGGATAAGATTAAGAAGGCTCTCATGAAAGCCCCAGAAGGTACATAGTAGTGCAGCTGAGGAAACTAAGCCTCTGAACAGTTAATCAGTTTTCTTAAAGCCCCACAGTAATTGGTAGTACAGAGATCTGAATCCACCTTAGACCCCAAAGACCTCTCTTAGTAGAAACCTAAGACGAATGAATAAATAGGGAGCAAGTACAAATATATTTAACAATTAAACTACTGCACACCATAAACCCTTGCTACAAAAATTGGAGATTAGAAATAAGTTGACTTTATGCCCATTTTAGTGGAATAGGCACCCCTCAGAGGTAAAATGTACTCTGATTTAATTTGTCATGCACATGAGAAGCTCAGCTGCTTGGAACACAGGGCAATGAAATGACCAAGGAACACCTTTTGGTGACAGAAAATCACCAGACAGCATTAAAATGATCTGCCTTCAAACCCAACATGTAAAGGAATGATTAATGCACCTGGGGCTCAAACAGGGTGGCAGGTGAATTCCGCAAGAGGAGGGCCCCAGCCGGTAGGCCAGGTGTGCAAGCTGAGATGGCAAAGGGGCTCATCCCAAACTCCGCTGGGGTAGGTGTCAGTGTCTTATATTGTAGACTAATGGAGTTGGGTGGACCCTGCCAGGTAGAGGCTGGACAAATTTTTCCTTGTCCCTGACACCTTTTGAACAGATTACCTCCTGGGTAGAGAACACAAAAGATAGCATTGAAGATTAGTTCTTCAGTTCCCATTGATCAGGAAAGAAAACTGAGGCCCATCTAACATGTATGGTTAGTTTCCAAGTTGGTCCTGTTGGAGGAAAAAAGAGCCCTCGCCGTGACAAGGGGGAATCCTCTGACAAGGCCTGGGTTTCTTTGATCTAAAACCAAGATCTGGAAGTTTGAATTGTCCTATATGCGTGACAGACAAACATCCGTGAGAAAATGTCCCTGGAAAGATACTCACCTAGAAAACCCAGGGTCCTGTTTATTATGGAACTGTGAGAAAAATCATTCTTTTGGTATGATGTACAATGGTATGACGTGGATTCAGCTATAGGATCATAGAAGGCGATCTTTCGATCAGCTGAAAAACAACAGTAGACATTGACACTGAGGCACTTTGCTCTTTGCTGTGGGCAACATGCCCTGATCATTTGAGACTTATGATCCTATTTATGTCAGCCTCACACCCGCACCCTCCAAGCCCTTCCTGCTGGGTGTCCTCCTGATACATGACAACGATTTTTATTGCATCTTTAGTTTCATTATAGGAGGTTTCCTCCAACTATTTATCTGAACTTAAAACTAATTTTTCCTTCTAAACATATTTTCTCCCTCTATCTTACGCAAATGGTGGTTGCTCCAGGTACCACGACCCAAGCAGCCAGGCTCGAGAGGTGAGGAAGGTGGGATGGAAAACCTCTTCCATCCCAAGGCCACATCCACACACATCATTATTCTTCACCGTCACCTGGACTTCTGTCCTCACGTTCTCACTGCTGTCAATCCAACCTCGTGGTCAATTTCTACCATTTACTGCAGTATCTGAAAACTAGGTCAAAGACTTTCACTTCATGGCAAAGCCCGCTATCATCCTGAGAGGTTAAGTACCATGTAGATAACCTATCCAACACCATGTTCAAAGCTTCTTGTCCTCCTCAAATGAGATGGCTTCAGCCTCCTTTCTACCCCAGCCACTCTCTCCCAAGCCAGGATCTACTTATCAAGCAGAATTGTTCCACCTCAAAACAATTAATTGATAAAAACATCTACTTTTGAAATACAATATCCAGCACTTCCAGTCAAAATGGTGGTATGAATCAACGTGGTATACTTGCCTCTTTCCGCAACCACATCAACATTACAGCTAAACTACAGAACAACCATCATTCAGAACTGCCTGAAATAAAACTGAATGGAATTCCTACAACTCCAAAGTTAAACAAGCCACATGAAGACTGGTAAGAAGGGTGGAGACTCAAATGGACTGGCCCCACACCCACATCTTGCAGATAAAAACTAGGAGGAATACTTCAGCTGCAGAAATCATCCCTGAGGAGCAAGGGGCCCCAGCCCAAAACCATCCCCCCAGCCCAAGGTTCCAGAGCTGGGAAAAAAAGTCCCCATAACTTCTGATTGTAAAAACCAGCAAGGATTGACGCTGAGGGAGACAGAGGCCTTTTGGGTCTCAGACAGTTCCTCCTATAAGGGCCCACATATGGACTTACTCAGACTTACTTCTCAGGGTGCCAGCATGGGAACTGAAAATCACCAGGGACATACAGGGAGGAACTGAGTAGTGTGGCACCAGGGCAAGAGTTGGGGGCAGCTTCTTCCAGACAGAAGGGCTGGCAGAGGACAATGTCCCTTTGCCTAGCCCTCTACACACAGAGCCAGAAAATGAGCACCATATCTGAGTCTCCATCAACCTGTTTCCAGTGGCTCTACCATAGGTGTGGCCTCTCTTGGTTCATTCTTCAGACTTTCCTAAAATCTTGCAAACAAGCAGCATCTGACCTCAGCAAAGCCCATAGTTCTTGTTAAGTGGCCCCAGGACCAGCACTAGCAGCAGCAGGCTTGGTTCACAGCTTGGCCTTGCCTTGGCACCTACAAGCTCAGCACAAGTAGTAGCCATCTGCAGATTGCTTTGTAGCTCATGCTGGGTAGCCCTGAGGCAGAACAAAGGTGGTGACTGACCCTGGCCTGAACCCACCCAGGAGGCCCCAGAGCCACTGCACTGAGTGAACAGCTTCAGACCAGGTCAAAGCATCACCACCCAACCACCTCTAAAAGCAACACTCAAGGGATGAACTCAGCAGGCACAAGAACCCACTGAAGTAAGTAGTGTTCTGTGGGGTGGACCCTACACAGCTGATCCTCCAGGGTGGTCATAGTTAGTACTTGCAGCTGATCCTCCTGGGGGACAATCTCCCCATTGTTGAGACAATAGCAATCAAGGCTCAACTACAATAGGAGGGTATATACAGTTCACATGGGGAGTTTGGCACCTCATGTGCCAAGCCTGGGGGATGGAGAGGCTGTGCCACTGGACCCTACAGAATATCTGCTACATACAACAGGCCACTCTACCAAGCGTGGGAGACATAGCAGTTGTACCTCATACATAGAAGCAAACATGGGGGCAGCCAAAATGAGGAGACAAAGAAGCATGTCCCAAATAAAAGAAGAGAGCAAAAGTCTAGAAAAAGAACTAAACAAAATGGAGACAAGCAATCTACTAGATGCAGAGTTCCAGACATTGGTTATAAAAATGCTCAATCAGTGCTGGCCAGTTTTATTCAGTGGTTAGAGCATTGGCCCACAAAATATTTGAGGGTTTGATTCTGGTCAAGGGCATGTACCTCAGTTTCAGTTTGGTCCACAGCCCTGGTCCAGGTCATGTAGGAGGCAACCAGTCAATGTGTCTCTCTCACATCAATGTTTCTCTCTCTCTCTCCCTTCCTCCCTCCCTCCCTCCTGCTCTACCTGAAGATAAATGGAAAAATATCTTCAGGTGAAGATTAAAAAAAAAATGACCAGTGAACTTAGTGAGAACATTAACAGTACAAAAACGGTCCAGACAGCTATGAAGGGTACACTAATTGAAATGAAGAATAATCTGCAGGAAACCAATAGTAGAGTAGATGAAGCTGAGAATGAAATCAGCGATTTGGAATACAAGGAAGTGAAAAACACCCAATCAGAAGAGCAAAAAGAAAACAGAATCCCCCCCAAATGAGGATAGTGTAAGGAGCCTCTGGGACAACTTCAAGTACACCAACATACACATCATGGGTGTGCTGAAGGAGAAGAGAGAGAGCAAGAAATTAAACCTATTTGAACAAAATGACAGAGAACTTCCCTAACTTGATTTAAGAAATAGACATACAAGTTCAGGAAATGTACACTCTCAAACAAGATGAACTCAAAGAGGCCCACACCTAGACACATCATAATTAAAATGAAAAAAATTAAAGACAGAGAATCTTAAAAGCAGCAAGAGAAAAGCAATTAGTTACCTACAAGGGTGCTCCCATAAGACTGTCAGTTGATTTCTCAACAGAAACTTTGCAAGCCAGAAGAAAGTGACAAAAAATATTAAAAATGAGGAAAAGCAAGAACCTACAAACAAGATAATTCTACTCAGCAAAGTCATCATTGAAAACTGAAAGACAGATAAAGAGCTTTCTAGACAAAAAATCCCTGGCTGGTGTTGCTAAGTGGATTGAGCGTCGCCCCATGGAGAGAAAGATCCAGGTTTGATCCCATCAGGGCATATGCCCAGGTTGCAGGCTTGATCCCTACTAGGGGATATGCAGGAGGCAGCCAATTGACGTTTCTCTCTCACATAGATGTTTCCGCCTCACTCTCCCTTCCTCTCTCTCTAAAAAAATCAATAAAACATATTAAAAGAATGAAAGAAGAAAAAGGAAGGAAGGAAGGAAGGAAGGAAGGAAGGAAGGAAGGAAGGAAGGAAGGAAGGGCGAGCGAGCTAAAGTGGTTCATCACCACCAAACCAATATTATATGAAATGTTAAAGGGTCTTTCTTAAGAAGAAGAAAGAAAAAAGATAAAAATTTGAACAATAAAATGGCAATAAATATATATCAATCAACAATTGAATCTAAAAAAAAATAAATAAACAAACAAGCAGAACAGAAAAAGACTCACAGATAAAGAGAACATTTTGAAGGTTGCCAGATGAGAGAAGGGTTTGGAGGAATGGTTGAAAAAGGTAAGGGGATTAAAAAGTACAAATTTGGTCCGCCCAGTGTGGCTCACTGGTTGAGCGTCGAAGAGGTCACCTGTTCGATTCCCAGTCAGGGCACGTGCCCAGGTTGTGGGCCTGATCCCCAGTGGGGGCATGCAGGAGGCGGCCATTCGATGTTCTCTCTCATCGATGTTTCTATCTCTCTCTCCCTCTCACTTCCTCTCTCTCTCTCAAAAATCAACAAAAGAAAAAAATACAAAATTTAAAAAAAAAGTACAAATTTGTTGTTATAGAATAGTCATGGGGATGTAAAGAACACATAGGAAATATAGTCAATAATATCGTACAAATTATGTATGGTGTCAGATGGGTGTATGATTTATTGGGCTGATCACTTAGTAAGTTATGCATTGTCTGTTTATTGGGGTGTACACCTGAAACTAACAGAATAATGTATGTCAACTTTAATTGAAAAATAAAAATAAGCTGATGAACAAAATAGGCCCAGAGGCATGTATACATGGAACAGACTGACATATCTCACAAGGGAGGGTTTTGTGGGGATTGGTAGAGACTAACCAAAGGACAAAATGTATATATGCCTAGCCCATGGGCCTGGTGGGGTGGGGGTGGGGGGGCTGGGTGGAGAGGGCCAAAAGGGGGAAAGTGGGGGACATTTGTAATAGTATCAACAATATAAATAAATAATTGTAAAAATCAATAAAATACAATATTCAATTTTTCCAGCTTTCTAACTCAGAGATTCTTATTTTACCTGGCCTTCACCTAGACCTCCGAATCTTTGTCTACTCTATTTTTCCTATATAAAAACTTCCTTCCATCTTCACTCTCTTTTTCATTTAGCCTAAATGTCAGGTGCAACAATTTACAACTCTCTTATCAATATCTTCAACTCCATGTCCTCAGTTTCCTTTAATCACATCCATCTGGCAAATCCTCACCCTCATAATTAAGCCAACACTCTTCTCTCTTCATTCATTCCAACCAAAGCTGCTGAATACTGCCGATCTGAGTCACATAAACTGATTCCTTCAGTAGTTTGGTGCCACTAAAACACTCCCGCACCCCAGCCACACTGGGCCCTGAGCACCCTCACCACTGCGCTGTGTCTCCCACAGGTCTCACCCAGGGCTCCACAGGCTACTTCAGACCTCACCTCCCATCTCTGCTCTGCAGCTCTCGTCTCATTCCCATGAGCTAACCTTGCTGTCTCGTTCACGAAAACTACAGAAAACTCTCAGACAGAAACTCCAAAAACTTGCCTCTCAACCTATGAACTACAACCTAATCCTCGGGTTTCCTGCACTTGCTGGCGCCAGGGGAAGACTGTCCAATATTTCACCTGTTAAAGGCTAATCCCCCCTCTGGTTCTAGATCTCATTCTCTCTCACTTCCTTAAACACCCTCCTCCATTAGTTACCCTCCCCACACCCAATATTATCAACCCTCTAACAGCATTTTCCTGTGAGCTTTATAACATCCGCAAATCTCTCCCATTCTGAAATTTGAGATATAACACACACACACACAAACACCTCGATTATACAATTTCTTCTGTAGCCATCCCTCACTATTCCTTCCCCTTTTCAACATTTATAAAAAGTATATACACAAGCTGCTGCTCATTTCCTGCCTCTCATTTGCTCTTCAACATTGTAAATATAGATTCTTTTTCAACCTATGCCAGTGGAACTGTTCTTGATTAGATTAGCGAGGCTTTGATATTAACAAAACAGACCCTTTTCATTTTACTTTGACTTCTCTGCAGTAGCTGATACTTTGATCAATCCTTTGTTATACCAGTTTCCTTTTGTTTTGAATATGCACTTTTTTCTTACTATTTCATTCATTTTATTATGGATAGAGGATCCATCCCAAGATACTTGATATCCTTCAGTGTTCCAATCTCATCCCCCTTTACATCTGTCCTTTGAATCATCGAATTTATTCTTATGACTTCAGTATGACCTAGATGCTGAATATTGTCTCATGTGTATCTTCATCCCTGACCTCTCCCCTGAACCTGACACCCATCTGCCTCCTCTACTCGATGTCTTCATGTGGTTATACCACAGGATGTCGAATCAAAATGCTGAAAAATAAGTCAACATTTGACCCCCTAAACTTGCTCCTCTTCTTTGTTACTCTCTTAAATAAACAGGACCATCAACTACCCCATTGCCCAACCAAAAACCTGGGTTCACCTTGAAGCCTGCCTCTACATATAACATCATGATGCCTCTCCAGGCACAGAAACCTGCCCAGGGAATTTCTGCACCTGATGCCAATCCCCGAGCCCCTAGTTTGGATAACTAAGCCTGCCTGACTCATGTCCGAGACATCCCCGTGATCCGCACCTGTTTCCTAATACCACCAATGGTCCATCCGCCATTTGTGTAATCATTAACTGTTCTCAACAGGATAAATCAGCGTCCAATTTAGTAAGTGTAACTACTCAATGTGTATGTGCACTTTTTGTTTAATTTCATTCATTCCCCCCCCCATGGAGTACTTTAAATATTCTTGCTAATGAGATATTTTCCAATTATCTAGGACAGAACATTTTACAGCAGTCAGAAATTCTAGATGTGGAGAGACAAGGGAAAAAGACCTTTCATGTACTTTAAATGATGGATCTAGATATCCAGGCCCTATATTTTATATGAGTTTGATTGGAATAAAACTCACCACCTCCAGCGAGCACTGGTATCCAGGAACTACCACACAGAACCGGCCTTGGAATGTCCCTACGAACCAGAGGTCCCTGCACTGGCTTGTTGAGATCCTTGTTGACGGCAATGAAAGCTGTGTGGGAGCTTATGACTCCACACTCAAGGCTGACTTTCAGCACATCTTTTTTATCGTTTGCTGGAGTATCTGTGACGCCCATGTCCTTGGTCTGGAGGAAGGACTTGGCAGCAAGGCGATGAATGGTGAAGCTACAAGAAAACGAATTCCCGTGGCTTAGGGAGTAGCACACATATGCCCGCTACTCAGAGCCCTCAGAAGTTAGGGGTGTGCCCTTGCCAGTTTGCTCAGTGGTTAGAGCATCAGCGCATGGACCACAGTTGTGGGTTCAATTCTGGTCAAGGGTATATACCTCAGTTGCGGTTCTGTCTCCAGCCTTGGTTGGTGTCTTGTGGGAGGCAACATATCACTCACTTCGATGAGTGTCTCACTCACTTCGATGTTTCTTTCTCACTCCCTCTCTCCCACTCTATCTGAAGACGGATGAAAAATATCAGGTAAAAACGTTAGTGGTGGCACAGGGAGAAAAAAACAGGGGAAAGAGAAAACTTAGTGGCTTGAAAAAGGAAAAATGGTTTTCGGGAAATAATTGAGCCCAAAATTAAGAACAGGAAATCAATCCCCAGGAATGGCAGAGACAAAAATGTGAAGAGAAGGGAAGGGAGGGGAGGGAAGGGAGGGGAGGGGAAGGTGGGTAGGGGAGGGGAGGGAGGGGAAGGAGGGAAGGAGGGGAGGGGAGAGGAGGGGGAGGGGAGAGGAGGGGAGGGGAGAGGAGGGGGAGGGGAGAGGAGTGGAGGGGTTGGGAGGGGAGGGGAGGGGAGGGGAGGGGAGGGGAAGGAGGGAAAGGAGGGCAGGGGAGGGGTGAGGAGTGGAGGGGAAGGAGGAAGGAAGGGAGGGAGGGAGGGAGGAAGGAAGGAACACTGAAATCTTACTTGGCATCAGACTTGGGTTGTAGAGAAAATATCACTTTATTCTCAAAACTCTTGCCCTGGAGGGCATACTTGAGGCAAACTTCTCCTGTTGCCTCTGCTGGCTAAAAATTAGAGAACAGTAGAAATGATCGAAGGAAGAGGTCACCAAGAGAAATATCAGAATTGGGGCAGCTCCCCAAACCCACACATTAAAATCTCTGACTAGAAATCAGGTAGTGCAGGAAACCAGAGACTTGACGTGATGGAGAAGGGGAGGCTGAATCTGCATGAAAAGTGTCCAGAGCAGAGTTCAGGGTAGTAGCTACTGTGACTAGAGAAATAACAAGAATGGAATAATTCTTACCGGCATCTTCCCAGTCAACTGGGCATACATGATTAACCTCTGACCCCTAAAGATGACAGTGGGCTCTGGGGAAAGCATTTTAGCAGCTAGACCGGGAGGCAAATTCCAGCTCAGAGAAACATCCTCCACTACAGGCTGCAGAGAATGTTTCAGGGCCCTAAGAGCCTGGAGGAAGAAAGAACAGAATAAGCATCAAAAATAATGACGGCATCAACACCTAGTACTAACTGAACACTCATCACGCACAAGGTGCTATGCAGCACAACACTCGGTGTGCCTGTTCCTTAAGACTGTATTAGGAGGTGAGCGTTACTACTTTTGCTTTACACGTGAGGAAGCTAAAGCAGAGAAATGTAATAAAGAGAATAAAGGAAACATCTGGGAAAGGAGACTGCAGAGAAGTAGAGAAGTAGGCATTAGATCAGAAACGGCACCAACGGGGAAAGAGAGCTGAGAAATACATCCACAGGTAGAAGACGCCTTCCTTGTGCACACTGATCCAATGGGGAGCCCATTGACGCCCTATTGCAATCCACTGGACACTGCTTGTTTTCTTTGTATCCTTGGCATGAAGGATAGAATACAGGACCAGAAGAGGTCCTAAAGCTCACACCCGGGATGTCCATCACGACAGTCATGTTTCTCCTTTTAAACACAAAGCCCTAACCTCCTCCAGCACTTTGTTTCTGGGTTTCCAACTACTGGGAGTAGATGCAATTTCTCCAGAAACTATAGTGGCCCCTTTAACACAGAGCCTAAAGGAGCTCCACTAGGAATGGAGCCCAAGGATACAAAGACATGAACCCCAGAGGCAACACGTGGCCTCTGCCCTTGCAGCAGTGCTCCCCAGGCCACATCACTCTGGACCACCACCTGGGACACAGCCGGCCCTCACCTTCGACTGCATCCTCTCGCTGCCTGTGATGAATTCTGCCGTGCCCCCTGACACCCGGGCAATGCCTTTTATTAGGCTAGTGGAGGCTCCTTCTCCAATACCAAAAGAGAAACACCTGCAATTGTAAAATAGACACAACTTAGAGACAGGGACTAAAGGGTGAAATTATAAAATCAATACATAATGGCCATAAAAACATAAAGTCTACTTCCTTGACCAATGGCCTAACAGCTACCATTTATTGAGCATATTCTATGTTTAAGAGGCCAAATGCCTTAAACTAATAATGCAGTTAATCATCCTGGGACTCCTCAGAGAAAGGCGTGGGTTTCTTTCTGAAGGTAAGTAACAGGGCCCAGAGGGTTTAGAGCTCTGTCCACGACCACATAGCCACTCAAGGTACAGATGGAATCTGAGGACTGACCTAGACTGCAGGGTCCCCTGGCAAACCATTCTACATGACACTGATTCTCGAAGCAGAAGCGAACAAAATAATAGAATTAGATTCTCCTCGTTTCTTTGAATAATCAATCCAAAGAATGGGTTAATCAGAAAGTGGAGGTTAGGAAAAAATAGACACTATCCTCAGTGCTTGGCTAACAGGGCCCTGGAACCATGTCTTCTCTGGCTCGTCTCAGGATGGACAACAGCCTCCTGCTCGTCCAGCCGGAGAGCTCTCCCTGCCCAAGTTCATGTGCACCCAAGAGCTCCTTTTTTTCTTCCCTTTATTGACTTTAGAGAGAGAGGAAGGGATAAGGAGATAGAAACATCGATGAGAGAGAACATTGATTGGCCACCTCCTGCGTGTCCCCCACTGGGGATTTGGCCCACAACCTGGACATGTGCCCTGACCAGGAATCAAAACAGCGACCTCTTGGTGCATGGGCTAACACTCAACCACTGAGCCACACCGGCCAGACCCAAAGAGCTTTTCCATCACATGGCTCCCCAGACGGCACTGTCCATAAAAAGACAGTCTGTTGGTAATACTAATATAGGCAATGTTAGGAGATGTGGCAGGGACAGTTCTCACTGTAAATTAATACCTTGTTCTTTTGGCTTACTTATCAGTCTCTTTAGTGGGAGCCAACATCCCCATATCTAGGGATGTCAGCGTCAGTATTTGTAAGGCTGTGATCAGTTGACTGAACTGTGACAATGCCCCCTAGGAGTCACTGCCACCAGCATCTGATTATCACCTTTAAAGTCCCAGCAAGCTCTTGAAGTGTTGCCTCGGTTCTTTACGGCTTTTAGAGGACTTTGATGTACAGGTTTGTTTTATGTATAAAACTAAAGCTAAACAATATGTATTGATGGCTAAGTATTTGCCTAGAACATACTTAACAGCTTCATGTGGATGATAATAATAAGGATAATAATTACAGTAACAGCAAAACTTTATATACCACATACTTTATGTCAAGCACACTTCCTAATGCTTAGGCGTATTCTATTAAGCCTCATAGTAAAAATATAAGGTAAGTACACTTATTATATCCTTTTTCAGCTGAGGAAAAGGAGGCTTAAATAATTCAGTTGATTGGTCCAAATAGCTGAGAAGCAGGAAAACTGGAACTTATTTCTATGATCTGACTTAAAGTATAGCACCTAGGAGAGTTCTCCTCACAGCAACGCCACACTGAGTGTTTCTAGCCAGTAGAGAAGTGAAAAAGCTGTACACAATATATTTTAATAATCTGTCTGAAAGCTTCCAAAGGCTCCCAAGCCAATAAGAATCTGTGGGTTGAGAACGGGAGGGGAGGGCGCCGAGAAGGGGCAGCTCGTCACCCTTCACCTGGAAGCAAGTGCAGATCAAACGGTAACTGAGCGGTGAAACAGCCAAGAGGAGGTGCCCTAGCAGACGCTCGGGTTTTTCATCACAAGACTGCAGAACTGTACCCTCAAGGTAGAGGGGAATCTGAAATAAACCAGCCATCTAATGACTGATGCTCATTGGACTATTGGACTAAGATTATCTGCTTCTGGTCCAGCAACCTGTCAGAAGCAAGATAACATCATCTAGAGGCTCAAAAAATATCCAGAATTTTGTATATAAAATATCTGACAATTAACAAAAAATATAAAACCACTAAATATTGGGAAATTATGAATAACATAGATGGCTTTGAAAAGCAATAATGATAATTAGGACATGGTGAATACCAATGGAAATGACATATCCAAATTTAGGATTCAGCTACAGATATGTTTAAATTTGTAGTTCTAAATACACACATCAGGAAAGGACACCTAGACATCAAGCACCTGAGCACCCATTTCCAGGTCTTAGGAAAGAACATCAACAAACTCAAACAGTTTAAAGGAAAGAAAATAACAAAGGTAGGAGCAAACATTATTCATACAGGAAACAAAGATACAACAGAGAGGATCCACACAAAAAGTACTTATTTAAAAAAAAAATATATTGAAATTGACAAACATTTAGGGCAAAAATAAATAAATAAGGAAGACAAAAACACCAACATCAGGAATAAAAAAAGAAATACTGCCACCAATTCTATAAATTTTAATAACATTATCAGGCAACACTGAAGACTATTTCATGCAAAGAAATTTGAAAATTTAGATACAAACTCTCAGAAGAATCGAGAACATATAAAAATATGAACAATTCTATTTCAATAGAGATTTAAAAACCTTCCCACAGAATAAATCTCCTGGCAACATCTAGTGAACACAATAGAAAATCTTTCAGATAATAGAAAACAGGAAATTATTCTCAGCTGATGGCATGATGCTAGTGTAACATTGATATTAAAACCCAACAAGAATATTAGAAAAAAATACATGTTAATATTTCTCATGAAAATAGATTTTAAAATCCTAAACAATTATTAGCCAACTGAATAAGAATTATGTGAAAAATGTTAATAGATCACACCTAATTTAGGTTTCTTTCAGGAATGCAAGTTTTTGCTCTAACATTTAATAATTGTCATTATAATTAGCACACTAAAAGAATAAAGGATGCAATCACACACTCATCTCAACAGATACATAAAATGTATTTGACAAAATTTAGCCATTTATTATTATTTTTTAAATGTAAACAAAGGGAACTCTCAAAACAGAAATGTAAGAAAAATTCCTTAATCTGATACCAGATATCTACAAGAGACCTATAGCAAACAACCAAACTACTAATGCAATGTTTATCACATTTCTCTGAAATCCAAAATAAGATAAGAATGTCAGCTATGACCACTTCTATTCAGTTTGTAGCAGAGGCTCTTTCCAGGGTAATAGAGAAAGAAAGAAAATTAATTATATAAAGATTAGAAAGCAAAAACTGACATTATTTGCAAGCATAATTATCCACAGAAAATCTAAAAGTATCAACAAACATACTATTAGAATTAATATCTCCCTTAGACAAGGTCCTGAAATACAAGGTCAACATAAATATGTATGTATGTATGTATGAATGTATTTATATTAAAGGGACAGGAAGGGAGAGGAGAGAGAGAGAAAGATTGATGTGAGAGCAAAATATCCTTCAGCTGCCTCCTGCATGTGAATTTAAAATGCCATTGTCGCCCTGGCCTGTGTAGCTCAGTTGGTTGGAGTATCGTTCTGTGCACCAAAAAAAGGTGTTGGGTTGGATCTCTGGTCGGGGCACATACTTGAGTTGGGGGTTGAATCCCTGGTTGGGGTGCATGCAGAAAATAACCAATAAATGTTTCTCTCCATATCTCTTTCTCTACCTAAGAAAATCAATAAAAAATTTTAGATGAAAAAAAATACAGAGCTATTGTAATCAATTCTATGTAGAAATGAACAACCAATATGTTTTTTAAAAAAATACTATTTAAATTAGCATCAAACACGTAGGGAAAAAAATCTAATAAAAAATCCATGAAGAGCTCTATACAGTAATTTATAAAATATTACAGAGAGGTTTTATGTGTGTTTGATTAAGGAAATAAGTAAATTTACTGACTTTTGTGGGGAACTAGGTTTCTCACCATAGACAAAAGAAGACACATATACACAATAGAAATAAAGACAGGGCATTACTTTGGAAGTAGGGGTATTGGTAAAAATGTGTGTTTTTCTTAATCACTTCTTAGTTCTGTCTGCCAAAATACCTATAATAGATAATAGGCCAGTAGCAAAGAGTGATACCTAACACTCGAATATTGACTTCTATTTACTGTCTGCACTAAAAGGAATGAGTCTTATTCTAGAAACGACTGGCTACAGCAATGGGAATGCACAGGTGAGTCTGAAACGTTTTTAAGAAAAAAAGGAATATTCACGAACAGAGAGACATGTGAAAAAGATACAGGAACAAATTAAAAGAGGCCCCCACTGGCTAAGTCTGGACACTCTGAGAATCTAAATGAATAATGAAAATAATGAATCTTAAAAAATGGAAAACTAATGAAAGAATTCAAAAGTTCATGTTGATACAATAGAAGGAAGGAGAGGAGGGAAGGAGGACGAAGCTCTTCTTCATCGTGGGTGACAGCTAACAGATGCAGAGAAGGTGACAGAATTTAAATCACCATTTTGTAACCACTGATAGTAATGACCCTTGGGCAATAATTATCAGTGAACACTAAACCTCCTGAATAAATATTTGTTGAGAGCAAAATTTCAAAGTTATCTGTCACAAAGCAAATTTAAGTGGTCAATGTATCACCCAGTTACTTTTGGAATATTTCTTCCAAAATATTTAATTTCAATTTAAACATGAATTTAAACAAGCACAAAATGAGATTCTACAAAAAATAACTAGCCAGAAGTCTTTCAAAATGTCAGTGTCAGGAAAGAGAATTAAAGCAGAGGAAGTATCCCAGAGAAGACTAAAGAGACATAACAATGAAATAAAACACTTGTCCTGGGATTTGCTCCTGGAACAAAATGAAAATAAACAAGAAGCTATAAAATACATTATTAGAAAAACTGACACATGTGACCTATATTTAGATAAAGGTGTTATCTCAACAAGAAATATCTTAAATTTAGTAGTTTTATTGTGGTTATTTATTGGAATGTCCTGTTTTTAGAAGACAGGTACATAATTATTTGCATATGAAGGGTTATGATATCTGTAGCTTTCTCTCAAGTATTTCAACAAACAACTAAATAACAGGTGATGTGAACTGGTACCATGTTGATGCTGGCAGACCTGGGTAAAAGGTACACGAGTGTTTATTGTTCTATTCTTACAATTTCCCTATAAATTTTTGAAATAAAATATTGGAAGCACATTTAGAAGAATCAAGAAAAACCTAAATAAAGGAAAAGATATATCACTTAATACATTGGAAAACTCAACAGAGTAAATACTAAATTCTCTCAAAACTGATTGATAAAGGCAGTAGAACAGTATACACCAATGAAAACTAACTCTGGTTCCATGCAAAATATGTGTGAATCTGAAAACACTGCAGAAGATAAGAAGCAAAATACATAGATTAAAAACATACTGCAAATTATTTATTCTTAATCAAAAACAAACAAAAATAACCCATGGTGTTAAAGCTATTCCTCCGGAGAGGTAAAATGCGTAGTGATTTAAATTGGGACGTGATGGGAAAGAACAGTTGGAAAGGTAATGGCAGCTGTCTAGTTCCTGACCTGTGTGACGATTACACGTGTGTTCACTCTGATGGGTCCTCAGCTGTACACTTTTGATTTGTGTAGCTTTCTGTATGTGTTACTTGGATAAACGTGTTTATATTTTAAAATGTCTTACGAGTTAATACTTGTTTCCATTGTGGTTTAGAAAGAATACGGGACAAAAATAACACTGTGTGATTGAGGTTATATACAAAATTACTTGTATTATTTATTAGAGAGAGAAAAAGTGATGTCGAAAAAATTTTGTCAGCGGGTAAAACTAAAAGTCTTGAATGATTATGTCCTCAGAGGGCTGTCAACGCTGCTGTCACGTGGCACTAGGTTACATGGGCACCACCTGGGCCAGTCGCCCAGAAAACACATCATCTCCTACCTGTGCCTCAGTCTGTTGCTCTTCACTTCTCTGATGACACTGAATGTGTCGTCAACTTCTCCATCTGTGAAGACAAAAAGCTGAACACAGAAGACATTCATCAAGTCTCTATGTAGTTTGTTTTTAAAATACCAAAATTTGCCCTTGAAAACCCAACTACTTCATGGCACAGACATTGATGTCTCTTCGGACAGGTGCGACATCCCTAATGGTCCACTGTCACTTGCACCAGGTTCTCACGTGGCTTCCCATCCTGGGACATTTCATCACCTGCCTCTGCTAGTTTCGCCGGAGGCTTCTGAGGTTCTCCACAAAGAACATCCGTCTCCTCCGTCCATAGCATGGAGCTAAGGAAGACGAATTCTAGTAAATGCCTCTTGTCCTTTTCTGTTGACTACATGACAGGCACCTCTGAGATGCACACCACATTGCAACAACCCTACAAGGAAACTCAGGGCTACAAATTCTTGAACAGAAGTGTAATTTTCTCTCTGCCCCCTTCTGTTAGCTCTGTTCCAATTCTCACCTGGAGAGGGTGTCCTGGGATGGAAGCTGCACTGTAAATGTTCTTGAGTGGAGCCAGGATTTCGGTGCCCCATAGGTCAGCCTGCATCAGCTTGACCCTCCTCAGTGCCTCCTCCATGGTGTCCTGAGTGTACTTCACACTGTTCCTGAGAAAGCGAACACTCAGGACACAGCTCCTGGACAACGTCCAGTACTAGGCCCTGAACCAGGAGTAGCCCCACTGTACACAACCTCACCTGAAATCCCCAACGCCGAAGTCATTTCCACAGTAACCCCTTAACAACAGAGTTCTTTCTTTAGAGTATCTTTTTGAACTCTCTATGGCCTTTCTAGAAACTTACTGAAAGAAGGCCTCATAGGAAGATCCAAATTCATAGATGTTGAAGTAACAGCCTATAGGCAAACTCTTCAGCAGCCAAATCAGCGTTTCCTGAAGGAAGAGAGTATGAGGAGCTGGTGAGGGCGGATGCTCGCAGACAGGCACCTGCCAATCTAACTCTTGAGGGTGTGGCCTTCACCCACAGTGTGCCTCCAGACCCTCTGTTCCAGGGCTGGCCTCAGAATGGTCATGTGAGCTGCAGTTCAGCTGGACACAGACCCACAGATCCAGACAGACTCTGACACAACCCTTGAGACTCATCCTTACTGGAGCACGTGACCGGAAAAGGAAAGAACGAGTTTTACCTTGGCTGCCTCTATGCGCAGCTGAGATTTATCCTGGTTACTCATGGGACACCCCATACTTCCTGAACAGTCCATGAGGAAGACAAATTCTCCACAAGTAATTGGTGACTGGTCTTCTGGGATATTTGGGTAGAAACTCACCATGGCAGATGGATCTCCCATCAAACCACCAGAAAAAAATAAGGACACTGTAAAATGAAAAGGAACCAAAAAATACATACTCAAGACACCAAGAGTTAGTTTTAGTGACTTACATAGGAAGCTGAGAAAACCCATATCTGAAACACTGTTTGATCTTTATACTCTATCTGCTTGCACAGTGTTTGAAGTGAGTTATAAACATAAGAGATATGGAAGCAAAATATAAGTATGAAAGAGAAGAGGGTAGGGGTTCTCAAGAACAAACAACAAGTAAAATGCTATGATTGATGCTAGTTTCCTAGCAGCCAGGCAAATTAGTGAAATAAATTAAGTTCAAATGTTCCAGCATTTGCCAGAAGAATTAACGTAACTTATTTGCAGAGACACATTCTCTTCAAATCAAGTCAGTAGGAAATTTATCACATGGGTCCTTGACTAAGTCTTTCATTACAGCTTTTAAAAAATGATGCTTGCCCGGCCAGTTGTGGTTCAGTGGTTGAGCGTTGACCCATGCAACAAGAGGTCGCAGGTTCGATTCCTGGTCAGAGCACATGCCTGGGTTGTGGGCCAAATCCCCAGTGGGGGGCCATGCAGGAGGTGGCCAACCGATGTTCTCTCTCATCAATGCTTCTCTCTCGCCCTCTCCCTAAAAATCAATAAAGAAACAATTTGTTTTTAAATGATGCTCAGAAAAATAAAAAATAAATAAATAAAAAATAAATGATGCTCAGATGAGCAATTCTTTTGTTGACAATTTTCAAGAGCTGAGACTATACTAAGTGTCACACACACCAAGGAAAATATTTGCTTTGGATACAAAGCACTCACTGATGTTTCTATACAAACAAAGAAAGGCACTGGGATGTGTGTTAATAACAGTGTCACCCAAACAACAGTAAGGAGAAGACCACAGGGTCTGGCCTCTGTCACCAAGTTGTCATAGCTGTGATTTATCTTGAGGGGAAAATAAAGACTGAGGCCAGAACTGAAATACTAGTATTAAGATAAGAGATGTAATGAGAATGGCTTGTTTATATCAACTGTAGTTTAATAGTTCAGACAATATAAGACATAAATATCCTGTTTATATTATAGTTGTTGCAGGATCATAGGTTTAAATTCTCAGTAGCCCTTTGTGACTATAGGACTTGACTCAGTTTACTCTCTTACCCAAGAGTTGCGCAATAACCAAACTGCTTCCAAATAAAATGGGTGAGACTCAGAGATATTTGATACTACATTGGTTCAAAAATAACTTTCACACAATCCAGATCTCTGGATCTCTGGTGGCTCAGCAGCTTTCCTTAAGGCGCACAGTAGATCCCTTTCCATGCTGAGAGACAGCTGGGTGAGGGAGACAGGCACTGCTGCTGACAGGTCAGAAAGGCTGCCGAGAAGGAAAGAGTTAACACATCTAAACTCTTCAGAACAATGCCACACACAATAAGCACATGTGATATCTACTATAACACTTTTGCCTCAGCTCAAATTGTTTTACTTCCCAATTCTCTGCTTCGTCATTTTTAAATGAGACATTTCAAACCCTAGCTCTTCTGATCCTGAGCTTCACGTTACTCATCTAAAGAATTGAGTTGGTAATACCTACGTCAAGATTATTTTAAGAATTAAGTGACTGCTTGGCCGGTGTGGCTCAGTAGTTGAGAGTTGACCCATGCACCAAGAGGTTGCTGGTTCCAGTCCCGGTGAGGGTACCTGCTCAGGTAATAGGTCCGATCCCCAGTGCGGGGCGTGCAGGAGGCAACCAATTGATGTTTCTATCTCTCTCTCCCTCTCCGTTCCTGTATATCTAAAATCAGTAAAATAAAATACATAATAAAATAAAAGAATTAAGTGACACAATTCACTTAAAGGACTGAACTCAGAGTAAGCTCCTGATAATTCTATAAAAATATTTAAAATGTTATAAAATTATTTGTGTTAAATTGTTAATATAATTTTAAGAAAAGTCCTGTTCTTAATATAGTACGTGCATTCTAAGTTTTTAAAGTCTATTTGCAATGTCGTCAGGTAGCGGGATGTTCCATTTGGCAGACTGTAATTTATTTGGTCAGCCAGGCTGCCAGTTGTCACAGTCCCTCGCGTGGATGTGAATAACAAGCCATCGGGACCGAACACGTGATCGGGAAGCAAGGTTTGAGAGCCCTGTTGGAGGGGTTTACAAGACTCACAAAGGCGGCCCGCTGCCCACGGTCTGCACAGCTGGTCCCAGGGAACAGCAGGAAATCTGCAAAGGGGCCAGCAGAACCTCACGGAGGGACAGGCATTGAGAGCGCCGTCCTTACCTTTGACACCGCAACCTTCTAAACTTCCTCTGCTGGATTGAAACAGTCCTGACTAAAACCCAGGGCACTGTTGTGGCTGTTTCATGGGAACACAAGGGGGAGCTCGCCCAAAGGAAAGGACAAAACCAGGTAAGTCATGGACAGAAACAGAGCAGGAGCTTCCTGGAGCAGGAGCTGGAGCAGCCCTGGTGTGGATGGGCCCCCCTCTAACAGGTTCAGCACAGACAGCTGGCGCTGAGGGAAAATGGTTCAACAAGTGAGGGTACACTAAAGAGGTCCAATTCGTGACCTCGAGTGTGAAGTGACCTTGGCCAAATGGTAACAATGAGACAGGAAAATGGCCTATTGAAGACCAGATATAGGTGCTTGTCCTCATAACAGCAGTAGTGATGGCAGGAAGAGCCTAACCCAAGACACAGCGTTTTGACTATGATTGTCCCCAAGGAGCTTCCATCTGCCACAGTGGAAAATGCCCAGAAGTGTCAATGTCTTTCCAGTGACACTGCATGCTCTCTGCACCCAGGGCTGTGCAGCCAGGAAGGACCCCGGGGGCAGCAGACTGACATGTGTTACATGAGCTACAATTAAAAGGAAAAGTACACAGATACTGAGGAACATTTGCAAAATAAGATCAAGTAAAGAAATTTAAAAACTAAGCCTACTAAGAAACCAAATTTAGGCTCAGAAATTAGGAAACTAGGGTAAGATAAGACACGGCTCTGAAGATGGACAGCAGTGCTGTTTACAACAAAGTAAATGTGCTTCAGGTAACAGCATAAACAGTTAAAAATAATTATGGTAAAATTTATGTCGTGCAAATTTTACCACAATTACAAAAAGACAAAAAGAGAACTCCAATGAGATTACATGTTGCTGTGATGAATCAATCAATATTTATTAGACAAAACAAGAAATTAAGAATGTAGCCTTCATCTAATCACAATTACTATCTGCATACATCCTGTGTTTTAAATGCTTTTCTTAATCCCAGCATAGTGAATTTAGCTATTGTACAATACTTTGATTATTTCCTAATCTTTGTATTATCAACATGGCAGAGGACATGTCAGTGTATATTTTTAATTATATTTAAATATATTTCCCTATTTAAGATTCAAATTGGAATTACTAAAATGAACACTTATTTTGACACATATTCCCAAATTTCTTCTCAAAAGTTTGATACCAAATTATCTTACTTAAAGCAATCTATAAGAGTGCCACAGTCATCTTAGCTTTTATTTTACTTAGAAAAAATTTTTTTTTCTATACTGATTTTTAGAGAAAGAAAGAAACATCAATGACAGAGAACATGGACTGCCTGCCTCCTGCATGTCCCCCACTGGGGTTCAGGCCCATGTGCCCTGACCAGGAATCGAACTGGCGACCTCTTGGTGCATCGGTGGACGCTCAACCCCTGAACCACACCGGCGGGGCTCATCTCACATTTTAAAGCACAGGGCACTACCACACCTGGAAATCTTTGATCGTTTGAAAAGTGAAAAAGTCACATCATTATTTTTATTTATACTTGTAGAGACTGATCATTGTCACATATTTGTAAACTAGCTGTGTTTCCCTTGTAAATTCTTTTTCATGTCCTTTGTCCGATTATCTACTAATTCACTTTAATTTACCTAGAAGACAGTCACATGATATTCACTGACCTGAACTATTTTTTCTTGCCATAGTGTAAGCTATTTCAGTTTTTTTACCCACTACTGGACAGAAGGAGAAAAGTTACCCCTTCGGAGGGAACTACAAAGGGAGGAAGAAAACACCTACCGGGCTTCGCCGCAGGCTTGCCCAGCTCCACAGCTACGCTGGGGGCGTGCACCTCGCGGTAGTGAATCAGGAGCTCCACGTCCCGGTCAAACTTGTGTCCCTCAGCCAAGGACACCTGAGGTCGGAGGAGCACAGGCCCTGTCGGCGCCCCCACTGCCTCTGGGGGGCTGAGCCGAGCCCAGGGCGCAGGTTCTGCCCTGAGGCGGCAGGAGCAGGGGCCAGAAGGGGTAGGAGGCTCAGCACATGGAATGCAGTGGAGACGGGGCACAGCGTGACTCCCCGGGTTGACAGGGACCAGGAAGGGTCTTTAGGAAAGACTGAGCGCGGAGGACCAGGACCCAGAGCAGGGTGCCGGCGCTGTCTTATTCCTCACCTGAGCAGAAGTCCTATCTCCCAGGTACTCGGTGGCACTCAAGGGGCAGTTGCACTGGACCCTGTCGATGCCGAGCTGGGAAGTGATGGTGGCCTCCAAGCTGAGTGTGTAGGGCAGGTGCTCCCCGGGAGCCATGGGCGTCTTCCCTGTCAGGCCACTGCCCGCAGCCCCCCCTGTGGAGAGTGACCGTAGCGGTGTTTCCCTCCCACGTTTCAGCAGGCCCGCACCTCGGAGGGGTTGCCAGGTGTGTCCCCCGACTCCAGGGTCTGAAGAATGCGGGTGCTCACCGGAGAGCGGGTACCGGGGGTTCAGCACAGCGGGGAGCACGTAGCGCAGGGCCCCGTCCGCGTCCAGCGGCAGCTCCTGGACGTACTTCAGGGCCAGGGTCGCCTTCGACCCGGGGGGCAGGTTCCCCAAATTACAGCAGAAGACGTCCCTGGAGCTGTCGTCCTCCTCCAACAGGAAGGCTTGGTGGCCCTGGCTGACGGCGTCCTCATAGTTGGTGCGGGCCTGAGGGGAGCAAGGGAAGGACGGTGACATCAGAGGTGACAGCTTGACGAGGAGTCGGCTGGCCCAGAAAACGGACACTGGTGGGTGGACTGGGATTGGTGCTGCCACGTGCACCGCTGCGCTCTGAGCGCCTCTGATCCATGTCTGCGCCAACGGCTTTAGGAAGGATCAGGAGGAGGGGAGTGGAGCACAAAGCCATCGATATCGACATTTTTGTTACGTTGCATTTGGGAGAGGTCCTAAGGAGGATGAATTACGAAAATAAACAGGGAGGAGACAATATACTCATTTTCAGTACCTCATTCTTCTCCTGTAATTCTGCCACAATTTTCTTCCCATCCACCATGGCCTCAAAGCTGTAGACAGCGGAGTCGTCATCCATGGGGAAAACAAAGAAGACCTCCAAAGGAACTTTCTCCTTATTCTCATAGTTTAAGGTAGCAGACACACCAGCCACAAACTCAGAGATGGACAAGGTCACAGAGATGCTCTTCAGTGGCACTGGAAACAGACCAGAGTTCAGAGTTCAACCAAGTGTCCTAGAAGGCCTCCTGCAGACTGGGCGTTGTGCTTGGGCCAGAGATATTATGACAAGTAGAGTCAGGGGTCAGGCTCACCTGGCTCCTTTGGGTGGGTTAGGAGGCCACAGGGACGCTCCATGTTGACACAGGTGTACTGTGGAGAAGACACATCATAAGTACAGAGCCATGTTGGGGATTATCTATTAAACACCAATATCTTACGTGCTCCTCTCTGGCGGGAGGATGTACTCAGAGGGTTGATGAGGGAACTGGGAAGGAGAAAGAAGTGGAAAGAATGGGATAAAGGTGCAGATAGTGAGGCTCCTTCTCAGTGCAGAGCCAGGTGGAAAGCTGTAAGAGTCACTAAGTACCTGTTAACAGGAAACCTCTGTAAACAAGGCAGGTTCAATCACCAGGAACACTGTTTCAGAAGTGTGTTTGTTACACCACTCCTTAGTTATAGTCAACTAATGGAATTAACTTAACCCCTCAGAATCTCAGTATTCTTTCTAAAGTGAAAATCATATGTAGATGTATATATGAATTGATGTATATGAAGTCCTCAGAAAGGTGCCTGGCCTGCAGGAAGCATTTAATCAATGATGACGGACATTAGTGTTGTTCTTGTTACTGTTGTTAAACAGAACTTGGCTGTCACCTTTGTCATAGGCAGTTAGACATGAAGAGAGCAAGCACCATGGGCCAGGTACAAAAGGTCACCCAACTGCTCCCAGGAACCTTTCACCTTCCCTTTCCCTCCCTCCCCTCCCCTCCAGGGAGTCCCCACATTTCACTTCCCCTTTCACCTCCCCTCTCCCCTCCCCTCCAGGAAGCCCCACCCCCACCCCCAGGCAAATCACCTTTACCTTCCTCACTTCTAAACTCCAAGGGCCCCTCCTCCTTTGCCTCAGTAACTTGTTTCCTAAGCCCATTTCTTCTATGAAGCAATTCTTCTACCTCTGTGATTTTCTAAAGAAATATTCTCTTGTAGTTTCAGTCTTGGCCCTGAGTTCTTTCCAGGCCAGAACTCAAGCACTGATTGGTGGAACCAGGTCCAGTCTGACCCCACAGGGCTAACACCTGGTGCCACTGCCACCCCCTCCCACATACCAGTAGGTGGGTCTGGTCCCAGTCATTGGCCCCAGTATCTAGTATCACTAGAAGCTGCCCTCCCCCTGTTCTGTCAAAGGATGACCTGAGCTGCAATCTCTAGCATCAATTAGGGGGATTTTTACTGCAAATAAACCTTAAGCAGCTAAAGGATAATTGCCTGGTGCACAGAGCACTGGCGACTCGAGGAACGTATGCGTGTCCAGAGCCCAGGGCACAGTCACTGGAAACCAGAACTTCACTGGGAACCTGCAGGCAGAAGAGCAAGCAGGCTCCAGAGAAAGGTCAGTTTCCTTCCTAGAACAACGCCCCTCCTCAAGGACTCTGAAGTTCTGGCAGGACTATTTCTAGGCCCTCTGTGCTCATCACAGCCACCATGGAAAACCTCACACCTACTCCAGCCAGGGGCCCTGTTGGTCACCCCTCTGACAGCAGTGGTGTTTCTTACACCCTCTCCCTGCCGGAGGGATGGGATAATCACTGACTGTGGCCCATTGGCTTCTACTGAATAGGACACAGGGGGCAGCAGAGGCGGTGGGGAGAGGAATGGCCACTCAGGAAAGGGGTTTACACGCACTCACTAGATTGGGGTAAGTTCTCTGGTACAATATGCTGGGCTGGGGGTGGAAGAATTTCTAGTAACACCAGCAGGGAGCCTGAAGCTCCCTGGACAAGGATACAGGGGTACCACAGCTGGAGAAACTGTAGGGCAACCAAATCTGTAATTCTGGGCAGTACTCACCAAGGGTGGCTTTCGGGTGAAGAGGCAGAACAGAGGCCGAGTATCTCCTACAAAGAAACAGGCTTCTTTCAGGGTTCTACCACCAGAACAAACCCCTCACAGGGGAAATTTGCTATTCTGCACCCTTCCCAGTACAAACTATGCTGGGTCAGAATTCATTCTCCCTCCCGCGGGGTGGCATTTCACAGATGCGCCTACAGCAGGTAGGCAGACTGGGCACAGTGGCTGCCTAGGTCACAGACCTGCCCCAGTGGCAGATGGGAGGACCAGGCTGCCTAAGGAGGACCTGGCTTCCCTGGGAGCACAGAGGATGCCCTTGGAGGATCAGGATGCCCTGGAAGCATGGAGGATGCCCCGGGAGGACCAGGCAGCCCTGGAGCACAGAGGATGCCCTGGGAGCTCCAAGGCTGCCCTGGAAGCACAGAGGATGTCCTGGGAGGTCCAGGATGCCTTTGGAGCATGGAGGATTCCCTGGGAGGACCAGGCAGCCCCCCCGAGGACAGAGGATGCCCTGGGGGCTCCAAGGCTGCCCTGGGAACACAGAGGATGCCCTGGGAGCACAGAGGATGCCCTGGGAGGACCAGGAAGCCCCCGGAGGACAGAGGATGCCCTGGGAGGACCAGGCAGGCCTGGGAGCGCAGATGATGCCCTGGGAGCTCCAAGGATGCCCTGGGAGGACCAAGCTGCCCTTGGAGCATGGAGGCAGCCCTGGGAGGAGGCAGACCCCGGAGCACAGAGGATGCCCTGGGAGGTCCAGGATGCCTTTGGAGCATGGAGGATGCCCTGGGAGGACCAGGAAGCCCCCGGAGGACAGAGGATGCCCTGGGGGCTCCAAGGCTGCCCTGGGAGCACAGAGGATGCCCTGGGAGGACCAGGCAGGCCTGGGAGCACAGAGGATGCCCTGGGAGGACAGGCAGCCCCGGAGCACAGAGGATGCCCTGGGGGCTCCAAGGCTGCCCTGGGAGCATGGAGAATTCCCTGGGAGGACCAGGCAGGCCTGGGAGCACAGAGGATGCCCTGGGAGGACAGGCAGCCCCCGGAGGACAGAGGATGCCCTGGGAGGACCAGGCAGGCCTGGGAGCACAGAGGGTGCCCTGGGAGCATGGAGAATTCCCTGGGAGGACCAGGCAGGCCTGGGAGCACAGAGGATGCCCTGGGGGCTCCAAGGATGCCCTGGGAGGATAAAGCCTCCCCAGAGAGGACCAGCTGCCTGGGAGGATGGAGGCTGTGGCAGGAGTCAGGCTCCTGAGTCTGGCCCTGCATGGGAGGCTGCGCTGGGCTGCACCATACCCTGAGGCCTGTGGCCCCTGGGGAACAGGGTTCCAGCCTCTCAGGACATTTGGGTGCCCGGTGGGGCTTGCATAGAAACTGAAAGTGATTTAAAGGTCAGTTTCCAGACCTCCAATTTGGGCGGCCAGGTGTTCACAGAAGGGAAGGGTTTAGGGGCTGCAACAGGGTTGGGATTGGGGGAGGGAGGCCTGAGGCTCCATTTCCACAGCACACAGTTACACGAAACAGGAAAAACTGTCTCAGTGAAGGGCTGGCAGGGAGAGGCGAGAGAAGACCAATGACAGAAGGAGAGTGAAAGAGAAGGAAAGTAGGAAAAGCGGCGAGATTCCTAGGAGATGGCTAAGTCCCACTGCCACGCCCCAGGAGATCCCCTGACCCGCCCCACAAGATCCCTCTGACCCGCCACACCTGTAGGATGCCATGGGAACCGCACACCTGGGCTAAATTCTGTACCCTGGGCTCTCAGGGAAACCAGCCCTAAGAGTCCTGGAAGCAGGGGAAGGGACTTGGGATGGCGGGTTTCAGTCCTCTGAGGTTAGCAGAGCCCAGCCCAGATGGTCACCTACCAAGTCCTGCAGGCTGAGCCCTGAGTCCTGCAGTCCACGCCCTGATAGAGGGCCCCAGTGCAGCTGGTCAGCTACCAAGTCCTGCCATCCAAGCCCCAGATCCAAGCCCCAGGTCCACGCCCAGAGTCTGGCAGTCAGCAACCCTGAGTCACTGCAAAAAGAAAACAACTGCAATCAAATTTCCAGGATGACCCGCCCACTCCTAGGGACCGGTTACAAAATAGCAACCCAATGACTTAAGGGATCGAGAGGAAATTCCTTTTTTTATTTATTAATTTATTTTAGTTACAGATGTTTCCCCTTTTCCCCCATTGACACCTTCCTCGCCCCCCTCCTCCCCCAGCACTGTTGTCTATGTCCCTTGGTTCTGCATACATGCATATAAGTTCATTGGATATCTCTTCCCATCCCTCCTCCCCCCTCCTTTGAGGTGTGTCAGTCTGAACCCTACTTCTATGTCTCTGGGTCTATTTTGTCCATTATATCTCAGAAATAAGTGAGATCATGTGATATTTGTCTTTGAAATTCTTAAACAAATATTCTAACATTCGCCTGTCTCTGAATCAAAGGAAAGTTCTTCAACCCTGGGATGTTTGCTCTTTTTCCTGTGCCTGGTCCAGGGTAAGGGATAATCAGAGGACAGGCAAAGGGAAGGGACATTCGTTTTTCAAGGGGAAATGCTGTAATAGTAGCATCATCAACGGCAAAAAACTGCATCTTTCTGGAATAGACTTAATTGCCAAAGGATTGGGTATGAGGCTCTGCTAGTAATCCTCTGTGCTGGGCCTGAGCTCTGTGGGCTTTATGTCATTGATTTAGCTCTAATCAGTCATTTGCCCCAGATTGTACCCTCCCAGGACATGAGGGTGGTGATGAGGAGCCAGGGCAATGCACACTGGGATTAAGTCTACAGTCATGAATCACGCATTTTTCATCTGGATATTAAATCCAGTTTTGGTGGGGTAAGAATGTAAATCACTGAGAGTATCTGTGCTTATATTCCTGCCTAAAGGGCACTAGAAGTGATAAATTTTCCTGTGTCTTTTCTATTTAATCAATTTCCCATTTGCCTGGAAAATACTCCCCAGCATTTTACCTGAGATAACGGGTATACAACAGTCTTATCTTTTCCCCCAACATTTGTCACAAAATATCTCACTTTTTATTATTATTTTTGAATCACTCTAGTATATTAGTAGTCTTTGGAAACAAAAGACACCATTCTACCTTTAGCATTCTATTTTTAGTAGTGGTATTTCCATTTACAAAATATAGTAATTCTCGATCAGGCAAATTTCAACTGGTGAAGGATTTTTACTTAAGCTTCCCTGCCTGCATTTTGTCCACAATTCATTCATTTTCGCTGGTCAATCAAAGGCCCAGATTTCATTGTAGAAGATCAAGCCTATGTTTAGCTTTCTGTAAATAAGTGTTTAATCGTACACTCCAATGAGACGCATTGCAGTCGATGAATCACTGATGCTGTTCAAGAGGCCATTAGCTATGAAGCAGTACGTCCCCACGAAATGAGCATGATTTGGTGTCAAGGTCTATGTACTTTGGGAAAGTCAATGTTGTTATGTGTGGAATGTGCTTGTTCAAACAGGGCCCAACAAGAACTTGAAACTTTCAGCTGATGGTCTGAAATCGCCAGCATTGTTCTTACCTTGGTTGATGAGCTCCTTGGCCAAGGATATTGTGTCTTCCTGATCACTTTTATAGACCTCCCAAGTTTTTCAGAGAATTACATCAAAACAGGCCTGCTGCAGTTGGGACAGCTTGTCAGAACAGAAAACAGGTGCCAATGATCTGAAAGAGGATCGCCAAGGGGATGACGGACCCCAGATTCTGTGCCGAACTTATGGTGCTGGGATGGAGGGACCAGAGGAGGCAATAATGTTCTCACTGCGACGCTGTGATGGAAGCAGACGACAGAAATGGGAGGAGAACCTAGAAGCCATGTGTCATTGTGGATTATAAGGATAACATGGGAGCAGGGCACTCGGCTGATCAAATGCTCACTTTTCATCCACTCAGCGCAAAGGGCACAAGGTGTGGTATAGCAGATGCTTTCACCACCGTGTAAACCAGGGTTGGGCACGTCTGGCCCTCTGGCTGTACAAGGCCCACGAAATCATTTGGTCTGGCCCTGCCAAGGCAACCGCAGGTGGGAATCAAAATTCAATATATCTAGGAGCTTTTCTCATAGCAACAGAAGTTTACAGTAAGTGAATCATAATAATAATGTAAATTTTAAGGGCCAAGCAAGGCACGGCCATGAAGGGATAGACAGTACACATGCGAGTACATGCAGGACAGACACATGCCTCTGTCAGCTCCCCACAGCCCGTCTGCCAGCGTGGCAGGGACTCAGAGCACAGTGAGTGCCAGGCAGGTTGGCAGTGTAGACATTTCGAAAGTGTTAACACAGCCCGGCCGGTGTGGCTCAGGGGTTGTGCATCGACCCTGCACCAAGAGGTCACCAGTTCTATTGCTGGTCAGGGCACATGTCCAGGTTGTGGGCCAAATCCCCAGTGGGGGCATGCGGGAGGCAACCAGTCAATGTTCTCTCTCATTAGTGTTTCTATCTGTCTCTCCCTTTCCCTTCCTTTCTCTCTAAAATCAATAAAGAAAAAAAAAACAAAACAAAGTGTTAACACACTGTGGCGAAACGGTGGCGATCCTGTGATGAGATGAGATGACATGAGATGACTCCTCGCAGGTCCATGACCTTGCCTCTGACGACTGACGACAGTGTTGTCAACTTCTTTGTGAGCACAGATGAAAACTCCAACCCAACCTTTATCCATGATCATCAATCCTCGCAAAAACTGAATCTCGGATGGAGATTAAGGAAATTACAGTACATAGAAAACCTCAAGAGTTGATGAAACAAACGCTGGATATGTTCCAAATCCGAAGCTGGATTAGAACAGCGATCAAAGCAAAATAATTGTATCACTGGTGACACACACACTGGACAGTTATTAAAACTTAAGTGGTGTGACATCCTACAAATGGCAACTGTAAAGAAAGGAAAAATCGGTGCAGAGTGTGGATCTTTCCAAGAGAAATGATCAAATGATTATTTTTGTTGTTGAAGCCAAAGGCAAACCTATGTGCCTAATTTGTGGTAATGCATTAACAGTAATGGAAAAAGCCAACTTGGAGCATCATTGCAGCTCAAAACACACTCAACTCAGTGGCTTCAGAAGCCAAACGCATCTCCATAAAAATCAATGCTCTTGAGCAGAGTTTGGAATCACAACCAGCTACTTTCACTAGGCCTCCTTGTAACAGAGACAATGTTATTCAGACTAGTTATGTAGTGAGTGAGCTAACTGCAAAGATGCTGAGACCTCATGCAGAGGAAGAGTCTGTGAGAGCGCATGGTGGCTGCTGAGGAGTTGTTAGCACCAGACAAAGTAAAATTGTTTCATTGTTAGTTTATCTCAAGAGAACCTTCCCAGATCTGATTACCAGTTTAGCTCAAGATATTGGAAAAACACTGAAGGATTCTGCAGGAGAATTCCAATTTTAATCTCTGGCTTGTGACAAGACAATGAACATAACAAGTACTGACCAACCGGCCATTTTCGTTCTGGAGGTAAATGCAGACTTTGACACACGAGAGGAACTGCTGTCCCTGGAAGCCATGCATGACCCTACAAGAGGTGAGAATTTGTTTGAGAGTCTTGTTTTATCCATGAAAAAACTTAAGATAACATTTGAAAAGTGGCCTTCCTACAGATGGAGCTCAACCATGGTTGGCTCATAAAAAGGGTTCATTGCATTTGTCAAGAAAGAACTAAATCATCTCAGTCATGTTCCAAGTGACTCAATTCTATGCTACAGCATCATATACCAAGAAAGTGTCTGTGCACAGTCATTGCGGCTCAACAATATGATGTCAACAGTAGTGTCATGCATACATTTTGTCAAGGGCAGGGGTTTAACTGCTGCCAGTTTGAGGAGTTACTGAATGATCTGGACTCTGACTATGGTGACCTTGTTTATCACCATGAAGTGCAGTGGCTGAGTCATGGAAACATGTTCATGAAGTTTTAGGAACTTTGGGATAAAGTCAAGCAGTTCATGGAAATGAAGGAAAAATCTGTCAGGGAACTCAATGATAGCAAGTGGTTGTGTGATTTAGTGTTCATGGTGGACATTACCAAGTACCTCTCAGAGCTTCATGTCAAGCTGTAGGGCCACAACCAGTTTTGTAGCTCCCTGATTTCAAACGCGAAATCATCTGAAGCTAAATTAAGGCTGTGGAAAGTGCAACTACAAAAGAATAACACTGTGCATTTTCCCACTTTGGAAGGACAAAAGCCTTTTATGACACTTGGATATGATGCAAAACTAATTGAGGCATTTAGTGAAAGACTCAAGGATGTGAAAAGTAAACAAATGCAATTAAACATCTTTACTACACCATTCGATATGGAACCAGCTGATGTCCCTGATAACCCAAAACACAAAATCATTCAGGTGCAAAGCTAAGATGAGCTTGAGTTCTAGAAACGTTACCTAAGCAATGATGAATTTGCCACTTGGAGGAGACATGCATTGAAACATGTATCTGTGTTTTCGGAACAACTTACTGCTATGAGAAGTTCTTTTCAAAACTTACCATCACAGAGTCAACTGTGCTCCAGACTGACCAACGCAAACCTGGAAAAGCAGTTGGGAATAGCAGCGGCATCCGTACCAGCGGACATCACAGCCTCACCAAGGAGAAGCAGTTCCAGCCATCACATCACATAGGGGTGAGTTAATTAAATGTTTCACCAACTATAGCAGGCTGACGTTTAAGTTGATAATTTTGTGTGGTCTTGGAGTGATGTTATAAATATCCAAGTGGCCCTTGGCAGAAAGAAACGTTCCCAACCCTGTTCTAAACATTCCAGTGTTAAGCTCCTACATCCTGATCAAGAAGGACAATCCCGAGCTCGGGATCAGCCACGTCCACTTCAGACTGACGCTGACTGAAGGAATGCTGGGAAAGCATCAGGAGCCAGGGCAGCAATGTCCTAGAGGTCACCCATGCTCTGATGATGTCACACCTCTTTGCCTGTCGGGAAGACATTTCCCCAAAA